GACAGACACGTCAACGGTAAGCGTCGTCGCGTGGTTTACGGCATTACACGACACGTGATAAAATGTCATTCAACTACTTATGTAGAATTGCTGACATGCTCTTTTACTTTCAAATGAATAGTTGCCTGTAGGGAAAGACGTCACTGGCGCTTAAATGCATTTCGCTACACCCTCAACAAGGAACTTCAAATTGTACCGTTATGGAATTACCGAGTAAATATAAATCGTATGTGCACTTGTTCAAATATTAGTGTAATGTTCAGTGTATTTGTCTGGGCCACATTACGTAGCTGTGGATGTCATTCGAAATTTTTAAGTTTTAAAAACGTAATGGACCTTATCTAATCGATATGTACATAGCCTGTCGTTTCAGATGACACTATGAAAGGTTTAACCTAGCTGGAGAATTAGACCATCAAAATACATAATTTGTTACAGTGTTATTTTACGTACCTACGTTCTACGTCCTTTATTTGAGTGGTGATACTTAGGATACCGAAAGCAGGAGCTATCATCGTGAATCGGAGTCGCCATTTTTGTTTCCATATTGACGTGTAAATATCACGTGATTTTGATACGCGTTTTGATTGGCTGCGTGTGTACAACATGTCGCAACAAAATAGAGCAGGTCCTATGTCGTACAACAAACGTCCAACAAGTTTCCTTCGTCAAACATTGGCCAGACTTGCCTGTTCAGACGACGCAATATGTTGCATGCAATAAATTGGATACAACTAGTTGTACCGTGTGAATGCCCTTAAGACGGCGTTCGTGATTTTTTCTCTTAAGGGGAGCTGAAAACGATTAAGACATAAATGAAAATAACGTAAAAAACCTCGCTCGGTAAATACAAGAATTATGATACTAATTTCGTGAAATGAGTACAATACACGTGCTCCTACAATCGTCTCTGTGTATTGCCTGTGTGTTGTTAACATTATATAATATCAAGAGGTTTTAGTCGTAAGATTAATGGAAGATCTGAACGTTGATCTTATCCTGAGGTATGTGGGTCACCCTAATCTCGTCAAGGTCACGGCGAACTACTGAAGCGCTTGTTGGTTGACACTGTGTCTCGTTCAACACAAACCGTAAGCAGGAAATTACCGATAACGGCATGGTCGTGTGTTATCTGCGTCGTGTGTCCTGTGCTGTCAGTAAATCTCCTTCCCGCTATTAATCTGTTAAAGTGATAAAGCAATACTCCTGCAATACCACGACGTGAGGCACCAGAGATGGGCTTCACACATTGTACCCATTTGTTGAATCGAACCGGGTCTTCGGCGTGACGAGCGAACGCTTTAACCACTAGGCTACCCCACTACTTCTTGTACAGTGAACAATATACAGCAAGGTAACCTGCGCACGTGAATGGATCTGTTTCAAGGTAGCCCGTTCTTTCCTGGATTCACTGACCGCTCTGGCGTGACCTTGTTGGATGACCTTGAGGACCGCAAGGACGAACAGGACCGTATTGCCCTTGAATTCAACAAGGTCACGACCTTGGACTTCGACACAAGTAATGCAGGACCAGGTAAAATCTTTTTAATGGCCACCCGTAATAATTATTCAAGCACAATATTTTCTTGCGTGATAGATCAAATGATCTGGCATGAGTTACCTAATATGTATGCAGTGTCTCTTGGATTAAAGATGGTCAGCGTCATTAACTTTGACACTGATGATGCTGGAGCAGTGTTAAATTGTATACTTGTTATCTTTAAACAATGCCTTCTTGCTGAAAATGTTTATCAACCATTTTTTTCATTTCTCTTCAATTGAATTGTATTGTAAATAGCTATTCATCGATGGTGTTTTTGTTTTGTCAAAATAAAGTACATTAAACGTTCCGTTAGCTGAGCAAATGTGTTTAACCTACCGGGTACCTCTGTTAAGGTGTATGACGTTTTTATCCTACCGGTACCTCTGTAGAAGGTGTATGACGTGTTTATCCTACCGATACCTCTGTAGAAGGTGTATGACGTGTTTATCCTACCGGTACCTCTGTATAGGGAGTATGATGTGTTTATCCTACCGGTACCTCTGTATAGGGCGTATGACGTGTTTATCCTACCGGGTACCTCTGTATAGGGTGTAAGACGTGTTTATCCTCCCGGTACCTCTGTATAGGGAGTATGATGTGTTTATCCTCCCGGTACCTCTGTATAGGGCGTATGACGTGTTTATCCTACCGGGTACCTCTGTATAGGGAGTATGATGTGTTTATCCTACCGGGTACCTCTGTATAGGGAGTATGATGTGTTTATCCTCCCGGTACCTCTGTATAGGGCGTATGACGTGTTTATCCTACCGGTACCTCTGTATAGGGAGTATGATGTGTTTATCCTACCGGTACCTCTGTATAGGGAGTATGATGTGTTTATCCTACCGGTACCTCTGTATAGGGTGTAAGACGTGTTTATCCTACCGGTACCTCTGTATAGGGCGTATGACGTGTTTATCCTACCGGTACCTCTGTATAGGGAGTATGATGTGTTTATCCTACCGGTACCTCTGTATAGGGAGTATGATGTGTTTATCCTACCGGTACCTCTGTATAGGGTGTAAGACGTGTTTATCCTACCGGTACCTCTGTATAGGGTGTAAGACGTGTTTATCCTCCCGGTACCTCTGTATAGGGTGTAAGACGTGTTTATCCTCCCGGTACCTCTGTATAGGGTGTAAGACGTGTTTATCCTTCCGGTACCTCTGTATAGGGTGTAAGACGTGTTTATCCTACCGGTACCTCTGTATAGGGTGTAAGACGTGTTTATCCTCCCGGTACCTCTGTATAGGGTGTAAGACGTGTTTATCCTACCGGTACCTCTGTATAGGGTGTAAGACGTGTTTATCCTACCGGGTACCTCTGTATCGGGAGTATGACGTGTTTATCCTCCCGGTACCTCTGTATAGGGTGTAAGACGTGTTTATCCTACCGGTACCTCTGTATAGGGTGTAAGACGTGTTTATCCTACCGGTACCTCTGTATAGGGTGTAAGACGTGTTTATCCTACCGGTACCTCTGTATAGGGTGTAAGACGTGTTTATCCTACCGGTACCTCTGTATAGGGTGTAAGACGTGTTTATCCTACCGGTACCTCTGTATAGGGTGTAAGACGTGTTTATCCTACCGGTACCTCTGTATAGGGTGTAAGACGTGTTTATCCTACCGGTACCTCTGTATAGGGTGTAAGACGTGTTTATCCTACCGGGTACCTCTGTATAGGGAGTATGATGTGTTTATCCTACCGGTACCTCTGTATAGGGTGTAAGACGTGTTTATCCTCCCGGTACCTCTGTATAGGGTGTAAGACGTGTTTATCCTACCGGGTACCTCTGTATAGGGAGTATGATGTGTTTATCCTACCGGTACCTCTGTATAGGGAGTATGATGTGTTTATCCTACCGGTACCTCTGTATAGGGTGTATGACGTGTTTATCCTACCGGGTACCTCTGTATAGGGAGTATGATGTGTTTATCCTACCGGTACCTCTGTATAGGGAGTATGATGTGTTTATCCTCCCGGTACCTCTGTATAGGGTGTAAGACGTGTTTATCCTACCGGTACCTCTGTATAGGGTGTAAGACGTGTTTATCCTCCCGGTACCTCTGTATAGGGTGTAAGACGTGTTTATCCTACCGGTACCTCTGTATAGGGAGTATGATGTGTTTATCCTACCGGTACCTCTGTATAGGGTGTAAGACGTGTTTATCCTCCCGGTACCTCTGTATAGGGTGTAAGACGTGTTTATCCTACCGGGTACCTCTGTATAGGGAGTATGATGTGTTTATCCCAGCGGGCACCTCTGTATAGGACGTATAACGTATTTATCCTAGCGGGCAGCTCTCTATAGGGAGTATAACGTATTTATCCTAGCGGGCACCTCTGTATAGGGTGTAAGACGTGTTTATCCTACCGCGCATATCTGTAAAGAGAATATAACGTATTTATTCTACCGGGTACCCATGTAAAGAGAGTATAACGTGTTTATCCTAACGGGTACCCCTGTAAAGAGAGTATAACGTGTTTATCCTAACGGGTACCCCTGTAAAGAGAGTATAACGTGTTTATCCTAACGGGTACCCATGTAAAGAGAGTAAAACGTGTTTATTCTACCGGGTACCCCTGTAAAGAGAGTATAACGTGTTTATCCTTCCGCGCATATCTGTAAAGAGAGTATAACGTGTTTATTCTACCGGGTACCCATGTAAAGAGAGTATAACGTGTTTATCCTTCCGCGCATATCTGTAAAGAGAGTATAACGTGTTTATTCTACCGGGTACCCCTGTAAAGAGAGTATAACGTGTTTATCCTAACGGGTACCCATGTAAAGAGAGTATAACGTGTTTATCCTAACGGGTACCCCTGTAAAGAGAGTACAACGTGTTTATCCTAACGGGTACCCCTGTAAAGAGAGTATAACGTTTTTATCCTAACGGGTTCCCCCTTTAAAGAGAGTATAACGTGTTTATCCTAACGGGTACCCCTGTAAAGAGAGTATAACGTGTTTATCCTAACGGGTACCCCTGTAAAGAGAGTAAAACGTGTTAATTCTACCGGGTACCCCTGTAAAGAGAGTATAACGTGTTTATCCTAACGGGTACCCATGTAAAGAGAGTAAAACGTGTTTATTCTACCGGGTACCCCTGTAAAGAGAGTATAACGTGTTTATCCTAACGGGTACCCCTGTAAAGAGAGTATAACGTGTTTATCCTAACGGGTAACCCTGTAAAGAGAGTAAAACGTGTTTATTCTACCGGGTACCCCTGTAAAGAGAGTATAACGTGTTTATCCTAACGGGTACCCATGTAAAGAGAGTAAAACGTGTTTATTCTACCGGGTACCCCTGTAAAGAGAGTATAACGTGTTTATCCTAACGGGTACCCCTGTAAAGAGAGTATAACGTGTTTATCCTAACGGGTACCCCTGTAAAGAGAGTATAACGTGTTTATCCTAACGGGTACCCCTGTAAAGAGAGTATAACGTGTTTATCCAAACGGGTACCCATGTAAAGAGAGTATAACGTGTTTATCCTAACGGGTACCCATGTAAAGAGAGTATAACGTGTTTATCCTACCGGGTACCTCTGTACAGGACGTATGACGTGTGAGATCCTCGGACCCGTGGGGAAGATACCTGTTCACGTGAATCAGAAACAGGAAGAGTCAACAATTTCCTTCACAGCGAAACATGAAGGTAGGCCTTGTCTGGATCTTTACAGGGGTAAAATATTTTCATATATGCAATAAGTAGGGTGGTTGAGAGAGTCAGATGTGTTTCCTCCTCTGAGCTGCATTGTGCGTGCGTGCGTGCGTGCGTGCGTGCGTGCGTGCGTGCGTGGCTGCTTCTACTAGTTAGTTCGGACTAATGCCGATTTTATAGTGCCAGCCCACTGAGACACCATGCCCCAGTTTAACATGAATACCCCATTCGGACACAGTACACTGACTCTGATCCGACCAGTCCTTTTTTATTCTCCTGTATGCAGAGCACAAGGCAGGGTAACAACAAGCAGTTATATACGTGAAACACGTGAACACACAAGCACGGGTAATGTCACACCAATCGTAGTCATCAAGCCGAATCTGGCATTGGATCCCATGATGTGTTTTACAAACCTTTTCATTATCGTCTAACGTGTCTCATGATAGTTATTATTATTAGTAGTAGTAATATTATTATTGTTATTATTATCATCATCACCATCATCATCATCATCATCATCATCATCATCATCATCATCATTATTATTATTGCGAACAACTGTGTACACCAGCTATGTTCCATCTTAATACAATATATTGTCAATCTCATTCAAATCAAATCTTAATTCTCGCTGCCACTAAACACAGATCTGAGGACATCCCATTACGCATCACGTCAGACCGACCTTGCGCGAACTTTGACCGACCAATGGAATGACTGACATTAGCCAATCAGAAGGTAGCATTCTCGTGCTTTACGGCACTAATTTCAAATTGGCGACTTCGCTTCGAAACATATTTTGACAAATTCTCGAATACAAATACGAAACCTGAATGGTCCAGATTGTATGGATTCAAACGTTAAGCCCGTTACTATCGTTCGGAGTACCCCGTGTTTAGAAATCACATTCCGACTGTAACTTTCACTTTCATAAGCGACGCTCTGATTAGTCGGATGAAAGCCGTTCTGACGTGACCCCTAGTGGGATGTCCTCAGATCTTTGTTTAGCGGTAGCCAGAACTAAGATCTGATTTGAATGATATTGACAATACAATTATTTCAACCAAACATCCCACTTCAAGATACAGCACTGGGGTAATATACACTGTTCAATTGTTGGAAGGTGACCACTACATCCACATCTACTGGTCTGACGTGCCGCTGGAGTGGTCTCCCCTGCTGGCCTACTGCCCGGGGCCCACCCTGCCAGTCGACGTGACCAAGGTGAACGTCGTGGGGCACGGGGCGGAGTCGGCGAGGGCCACTGTACCTGCGGAGTTTGTCGTGGATGGGAAGAAGGCGGGACCTGGTCAGTGTCACTCGGTTACCTCCCTTACATCGCTGAGTGTAATGATGATCTCTGCCACATATACCTGCAGCTACAGAGTGTTAGAATATTAGAATGGTACATGGCACGTGTGTTTTGCAGGTGTGTGGTTCATGACACATGTGTGTTGCAGGTGTGTGGTTCATGATACGTGTGTGTGTTGCACGTGTGTGGTACATGACACATGTGTGTTGCAGGTGTATGGTACATGACACGTGTGTCTTGCAGGTGTGTGGTACATGACACATGTGTGATGCAGGTGTGAGTTGCAGGTGTGCGGTACATGACACGTGTGTGTTGCAGGTGTGTGGTGCATGACACGTGTGTGTTGCACGTGTGTGGTTCATGACACGTATATGTTGCAGGTGTGTGGTACATGACACGTATGTGTTGCAGGTGTGTGTTTCATGACACGTATATGTTGCAGGTGTGTGGTATATGACACGTGTGTTGCAGGTGTGTGGTACATGACACGTATGTGTTGCAGGTGCGTGGTACATGACACGTGTGTGTTGCAGGTGTGCGGTACATGCCACGTGTGTTTTGCAGGTGTGTGGTACATGACACGTATGCGTTGCAGGTGTGTGGTACATGACTCGTGCGTGTGTTGCGGGTGTGTGGTACATGACACGTGTGTGTGTTGTAGGTGTGTGGTACATGACACGTGTGTGTATGGCACGTGTGTTACATGACACGTGTGTGATGCAGGTGTGTGTTACATGACACGTGTGTGATGCAGGTTTGTGTTACATGACACGTGTTTGTGTAGCAGGTGTGTGGTACATGACACGTGTGTGTATGGCACGTGTGTTACATGACACATGTGTGTTGCAGGTGTGTGGTACATGACACGTGTGTGTTGCAGGTGTGTGGTATATTACACGTGTGTGTTGCGGGTGTGTGGTACATGACACGTGTGCGTTGCGGGTTTGTGGTACATGACACATGTGTGTTGCAGGTGTGCGGTACATGACACATGTGTGTTGCGGGTTTGTGGTACATGACACGTGTGCGTTGCGGGTTTGTGGTACATGACACATGTGTGTTGCAGGTGTGTGGTACATGACACGTGTGTTGCAGGTGTGTGGTACATAACACGTGTGTTGCAGATGTGAGGTACATGACACGTGTGTGTTTGCAGGTGTGTGGTACATGACACGTATGTGTTGCAGGTGTGTGGTACATGACACGTGTGTTTGCAGGTGTATGGCACATGACACGTATGTGTTGCAGGTGCGTGGTACATGACACGTGTGTGTTGCAGGTGTGCGTTACATGACACGTGTTTTGCAGGTGTGTTGTACATGACACTCGTTCGTTGCAGTAGTGTGGTACATGACTCGTGCGTGTGTTGCAGGTGTGTGGTACAGGACACGTGTGTGTGTTGCAGGTTTGTTAAATGACACGCGTGTGATGCAGGTGTGTGTTACATGACACGTGTGTGTGTGTTGCAGGTGTGTGGTACATGACACGTATGCGTTGCAGGTGTGTGGTACATGACTCGTGCGTGTGTTGCAGGTGTGTGTTACATGACACGTGTGTGTGTGTTGCAGGTTTGTTAAATGACACGTGTGTGATGCAGGTGTGTGTTACATGACACGTGTGTGTGTGTTGCAGGTGTGTGGTACATGACACGTATGCGTTGCAGGTGTGTGGTACATGACACGTGCGTGTGTTGCAGGTGTGTGTTACATGACACGTGTGTGTGTTGCAGGTTTGTTAAATGACACGTGTGTGATGCAGGTGTGTGTTACATGACACGTGTGTGTGTTGCAGGTGTGTGTTACATGACACGTGTGTGTGTTGCAGGTGTGTGGTATATGACACGTGTGTGTTGCAGGTGTGTGGTATATGACACGTGTGTGTTGCAGGTGTGTGGTACATGACACGTGCGTGTGTTGCAGGTGTGTGTTACATGACACGTGTGTGTGTTGCAGGTTTGTTAAATGACACGTGTGTGATGCAGGTGTGTGTTACATGACACGTGTGTGTGTTGCAGGTGTGTGGTACATGACACGTGTGTGTGTTGCAGGTGTGTGGTATGTGACACGTGTGTGTTGCAGGTGTGTGGTACATGACACATGTGTGTTGCAGGTGTGTGGTACATGACACGTGTGTGTTGCAGGTGTGTGGTATATTACACGTGTGTGTTGCAGGTGTGTGGTACATGACACGTGTGCGTTGCGGGTTTGTGGTACATGACACATGTGTGTTGCAGGTGTGTGGTACATGACACATGTGTGTTGCGGGTTTGTGGTACATGACACGTGTGCGTTGCGGGTTTGTGGTACATGACACATGTGTGTTGCAGGTGTGTGGTACATGACACGTGTGTTGCAGGTGTGTGGTACATAACACGTGTGTTGCAGATGTGAGGTACATGACACGTGTGTTTTTGCAGGTGTGTGGTACATGACACGTATGTGTTGCAGGTGTGTGGTACATGACACGTGTGTTTGCAGGTGTATGGCACATGACACGTATGTGTTGCAGGTGCGTGGTACATGACACGTGTGTGTTGCAGGTGTGCGGTACATGACACGTGTTTTGCAGGTGTGTTGTACATGACACTCGTGCGTTGCAGGTGTGTGGTACATGACTCGTGCGTGTGTTGCAGGTGTGTGGTACATGACACGTGAGTTTGTTGCAGGTGTGTTACATGACACGTGTGTGATGCAGGTGTGTGTTACATGACACGTGTGTGTGTGTTGCAGGTGTGTGGTACATGACACGTATGCGTTGCAGGTGTGTGGTACATGACACGTGCGTGTGTTGCAGGTGTGTGTTACATGACACGTGTGTGTGTTGCAGGTTTGTTAAATGACACGTGTGTGATGCAGGTGTGTGTTACATGACACGTGTGTTTGTGTTGCAGGTGTGTGTTACATGACACGTGTGTGTGTTGCAGGTGTGTGGTACATGACACGTGTGTTATGCAGGTGTGTGTTACATGATACGTTTGTGTTGCAGGTATGTGGTACATGACACGTGTGTGTTGCAGGTGTGTGCAGGGTGCGGATGCAGGGTGTCCGCGACAACCTGGAGGTGGAGATGAAACCCATCAAGTACGACCGATACAGATGTACCTACACATCGCCACTCCCAGGTAAAGTGATATCATGAACAACATACAATGTACGTGCGTCCTTAGTTTCAGTTACCTGTTTTCCTTAGTTAATCAGAAGAGTAAAATACAAAATGGTTGCTTTGAATCCTTAGAGATTACATTGTTACAGTGGAATAATCATTTAAATATAAATAATAACGTATGTGTTCTCTGAGCTTCTAATGCATAAATTAGATTACATCGTGTCAAGTCAATGTAATACACTCTCTACATCAGTTGTTGATAATGTTACGATACTTCAGTCGCCATTATTCTCTCAGGTGGTTTCCTGCTCTACGTGTATTGGTCAGATGACCTAGTGCCCGGATGTCCTTACAAGATCACAGTGACCCCGAAAGGAAACGTCAACAAGGTCAAGGTGACCGGGGAGGGTCTGCGAGGGGGAATAGCGGGACAAGTACTCACGTTTCTTGTCAACACAAAGGAAGCAGGTCCAGGTAAGTGAGGCCATCAGTAATACGGCTGTGTGATATTCAGCTGCTTCTACATCGACCCTCCATTAGCAGTTGCATGTGTGTGATGGCGCAAGATGTGGCTCGGGTGCACATCACAACGACTTTCAACAAGAAGGAGACGATGTCCCCATACACTAACTAGTTCCTAAACTCAACACTACTCCACATTAACAGAACGCACGATTCATTGTACATATATACTAAGTAATATAGTAAGTGTGCTTCATATAAACTTTAATAAAATAAATGTATTCTGAAATTACAGGGAAATAAACTAAAACTTCAAACTAAGAATTTATTTCACTTTATATCCAGCACGGTAACTTACCTTTGTGAGTATACATCCATAAAGGATGAAGCTAATATACTGGTAGTTTCTCATAATAATATATACTCGAGATAGTGTAAAAGTCTGAAATGTAATGTGTCATCGTCACTCACAGGGGAGATAACTGCAACGTGCACGGGAGTACGCACGGGTTTGAACTGTGACGTCAAGGACGACGGCGGGGGACTCTCTACAGTGAGGATGACACCTGTCGACGCCGAGAAACATCTGCTTCAGATCCGCTACGACGGGGAGACAGTGCCAGGTGGGTGTGGCGGAATAACAGAACGAGAGAAGTAGAAACAGAATTTATGCCATCACTTTGGTCACGAATGGACCAATATTGAAATATCAAAACACAATCAAGCAATTAAAACACTAGTTGATATTAAACACTGTAGATGGACTCACGTGCCAGAGTGAGGAGGACATAAGTTTTACACTGCTTTAACCCCCTGAATGGCGCCGCCTGTAGCGCGATAGTAGTGAGATGATGACATATAACAATATTTATAAATATGACAGCAGAGCTACAGATAAGTTGCGTATTTGCGTAAAATACCCCAAAAATATTCAAAACCCAATTACTTTCAATTCACTTGGGCACAGACACGCATGCATTAAATGAAAAACTCAAATTATTAAAGCAGCACGCGTAAATACCAAATGAAGCCTTTACAGCATGCGGACAACGGAGCTAATTTCCGAAACTCAACTACAGGCTATATTACTTTCCGAGACAAGCCTATATTTAGAACCGTTATATACATCCAAAACATTGTTTAATTTGTTTTGAAATCTCAAAATGTTTGCTCATTTTGAGAAAAAAACAAATAGCGTGATGAATTCATGAGTGAAAAAATATTGGTTACCCAATGAAAAATGTAATAACCCAATTAAAACAGAAACCTTCGAGTAAGAACTCTATTGCTTAAAAAGTTACCTGGGCGTTGAATATGATGACCGAAGAATCCATTAAAAAAAATAAACAAAGAGAACCACCATTCAACACTTGCAGGTAGTCCGTTTGTGCTCCGTGTTGGGGAGCCGCCGGACCCGTCCAAGGTGAAGGTCTTCGGTCCTGGTCTGGACGACGGCTTGATACAGATATACGAGAGCAAGTTCCTGGTGGACACCCATGGGGCGGGCGCCGGGCAGCTGGCTGTCAAGATCAAAGGCCCGAAAGGTAAACTCTTTCTTGTGTTTTGGTGTATGGGTATTGGTTTGTTCTTGTTTAACGCCGCACTCAGCAATATTCCAGTAATATATGACGGTGGTCTGCATACAATCGAGTTTGGACCAGACAGTCCAGTGATTGACAACATGAGCATCGATCAACGCAATTGAGATACGATGACATGCATCAACCAAGTCAGCGAGCCTTACCACCCGATCCCGTTAGTCGCCTCTTACGACAAGTATAGTCGCCTTTTAATTCAAGCATGGGTTGCTGAAGACTTGTTCTAACCCGGATCTTCGCCGGTCGTATTTGACGTAGTAAACGAGTAACTGCAAACAGCTAACAAACAGCACGGACAGATGGATCATATTTACCTTAGTCGCTTCGGGCGTTAAGGTGATCCGATGTGGTAAATTAAGGCTCATGTGAGATTAAAACATCCTGTTATTTTTCAAGAGACATTACAATATATATATATATATATATATATTTGTGTCCATTAGGGGCGGTCGGGTAGCCTAGTGGTTAAAGCGTTCGATATTGCTGGAATATTGCTAAAAGCGGCGTAAAATCCATACTCACTCACTCACTCTTGTCACCATTGCAGGAGGTTTCAAGGTCGACATGAGGCGGGAAGGTCAGAGTGACCGGAACATTCTGTGTCGGTATGACCCGACAGAACAAGGTCAGTACATCATCAGTGTCCGCTGGTCGGGGGAACATGTCCCCGGGAGTCCCTTCGAGGTCAACATATTTGAGTCACAAGACTCTTTCCGAGACTTCTTGCAACAACGAGGCAGAGATTTGGAAAATGAGGATCATCAGTGGCGGGAGGAAATATGAATTCGGCTCCAAACTGGACTTCCTGCCAAACTGTCCATCCTTGTCCACATATTGTTCACAGTAATTCCACACGAACTGGACGTAGCCAAGACAGATGTTATCAGTGTCACGTGACCAAGTAGTTAGTGTCTGTAACATATAGCAAATGATGCGCAATAGAGTCTTATTTATCTATTGCTTTCTAGAAGCTATTGCATCTAAAACGATTTTCACAGTAGCTTTAATCACCGTTGATCACATGTTGGGTTAACTTTATCAATATCCTAATTTCGTTGTATCCGATTTTGAAATGTCCAAGTTAAACATTTAGGGTGTCTGGATAAACCGGGTTCGTGGAATCAATTTTCTTTACAAAACAATCTCCGCGTCATCTTCTGTGTTGCGGATGGTGCTTGTTACATCATATCCATCCAGTTTAACCAAGTGCAATTTCCATGTGATCACGTGATGTCCATTTATCAATGTCCATATATTACACTCCTGATTGTATTATTTATGTCTTCAATGAACTGCTGAAACGTACCCAGCGGCGGGCCGTACATGAACAAAGTATGTAGGTTGTTGTGAATGTGAGACTTGTGCTATGATGATTATGATGGTGTATCCGCCACAATGTCGGGGTATCCCGCATACCACTGAGCAGGCCGGCGAGGTACTGGGTTTGGATTTCACCTTACTTTGCATCTTCTGGAGGCAAGGGACGTAACTGACTGTAAAAGTCAAGTTTCCATCCTTGCCGTACTGGGCTGGAATTTCTGGGCTCGATCGTAACGCCACCAGTGGCTATTACGAGTTATGTCCCTTCTATGTCCCTCCTATTGACCAATCAGCTTGAACCACTCATATCACTTGCATTTGCTTCAAAAAAATGGCGGCGCCCTGTCAAGACAATCTGATCGATAATCAAGATCTTTATCGTAATAAAACGGATCTATCTCGCGAAGTGCACCTAATCTCTTGGGCACCTTGATAAAAAACATAAAAAGGTTTGGAAAATATCTGTCGATGGTCAGTCGACGCACTTGTGCTCTGCAAATCCTGTAGCCGACCGAAATCTGCACGGCAGTCGTTATGTTGTTGCTGAACCGGATGTCGATTTCGTTACGCGCATTTGATTAGACTATATATAAACTCTATAGTTCAGTCAAAATGTAACTCCATAATTCTTCTCTAGTTCAGCCATGGTGGAATCTGGACTTTCATAGTCAGTTAACTCCCTTGCCTCGAGAAGATGCTTTCTCTATTGCAGGCGTAGTGCTTCATTGGTACATTATTATATTGTGAGACCTGTCGGTTGGTCCTGTGTGTAACTGTATGATCACATTTATCTGTTCAGCTGCTAGTAGTGGCCCTGAAAGTCCACAGGAAGTTTGGCTTGTCTTCCGTCTCTCTGTAGTTGGGACGTTCCCCTGCTGTGGAACCCGGCGGTGGATGTGTGTGTGTGTGTGTGTGTGTGTGTGTGTGCGCGTGCGTGCGTGTGTTTGTGTGATGTTCTGTGTAGAACAGAAGATAATTACGGGGCCAATAATGAGGTTCGGATGAATTATGGATGTGCACGTGTCCCGCTCATTTTCGACGTAAATCGAATTATTTTAAATAGTTGGGTCTGCATGTTCATCGTATTGAGAAACCCTCCTGAGGCCATCTGTCTTCTATGTGTGTACCTGTGATAATAAGCCCAACATAATAGATACCCTGGATCTGTATGAAGATATCGTCCACTGAAAATTGACGAATATCCATTGGTTTGCTAATCGTCTCCATTCTTAGTACAATCTGGCTTCCATGGCAATCATATTGAGAAAGCTATTTGCGTCATTGTCTCTCAATATATTCACATGATATAAATATCACGTGGATGTATATTGTAGATAGTATGAGTCTATTTACGCTAGTAGTTCATTTTATAGCCACTGAGTTCGTTCTTTGTCAGTATATAGCCAACCGATATACTATTTCCTTACTGAGAGTGACAATAAGCGATCAAACGGAACATGTATGCTTTTCCTAGGTGCTGTAAGGGCCATAGGCTATGACCACTTCCCGTTTACCATTCGCCTTTATGGGAACAGATGCGTGTATTATGATGTAGTGTAGCGGCCTAAACTGGGTTGTGTCCGTCCGCCATATTGTCCATCCGATCGACATACGTCCTGACATGCTGTCATCAGCAGCAGCAGTGTCCTCATATACCCTTGGTACTCAGCCTGTGTCCAACACGCCAGATGATGGCACATCAAAGATTGATCTGTGATAGCTTGGTGATTATACACTGTGAACACCAGTAAATCGTAATATCCTCTTCTGTGTGGTGTGGCTGAGATCACTGCTCATGCATATATCCGGGGCAATTCTATAATATCAATCACTTTTGTACGGATAGCAACAGTTACTTCCTATGTTCTTTGTACGACGTTTCAGAGCTACCTCTTGCTCCTTCATTAGGTGAATGCAGTCTTTGAAGGGCATTTAGAAGTTAGAAGAACATGAATACATGAAACGTTTTATGGAAAGTAACTTCTTATGTTCTTTGTACGACGTTTCAGGGCTACCTCCTGTTCCTTCATCCTAATATGCATCCACCTGATGAAGGAGTAAGAAGTAGCTCTGAAACGTCGTACAAAGAATATAAGAAGTTGCTATCCATAAAAAAGTGTCATATATTCATGTTCTCACAACTTCTAAATGCCTATCAAAGACTTCATCTCGTATGTAGTCTCTCAATCCTCAAAGACCAGTAATGCTACTTATCAACCGAATATTGAAATATAATCCTGAGGTGGTTAGCTGATGTTAGTATGACATAAGTGTCTGATTGGTGGTTCTCGGAATACTTCCTATTGCCAGACAGGTATGTAGCACTATACTAGGACCATTGGAAACAGCTTCCAGACTTGGTATGGGTAGGTGGCTGTTACTATGTAGAGGGGCAACACGATGGGGTAACCTGGCAACCCTTTCAAGTAGTAAAAGAACGCTTGTTTTGTCTTGAGGAAAAGCATTTGTAATGTAGGTCATCCTGGTAGTTAAAAATTTCCTATTGTTTTTTCAATGTCCAATTTTCCCACAAGACGCTAATTGCGACGTATAATCTAACCCCTGATCCAACATGGGCACCGACACATTCACATTCATGGCGACACAGAATGAACTGTATACCAGAGTGTACATATCTAAATTCGTGTATATTACAATATTCAGAAGGTAAACACTTGCGTTCATAGACCGACTGTTTGATATTCGGGATGGAATTTGTTTTAAAGAATAATTGGTTCAAGAAATATGGCATAGATGTCTAAAAGCGGCGCGATATAAACCTATTCCGTATCAGCCCCCGCATCAATAAGTCTAATTGTTGGTTCCTGAGATCCAAGGTATATTCAAGGGTTTCCTTCATTAGGCAGGGACCAGTCCCTTCGGTGAATGTCAAAATACCATCACAGGACAACTGTCTGGTTATTTAATCAGTGCGTGTAGTATTATGTTGTTATGCAGTTGTTATAATAAGCATAATAAACAACAAACAACAAACTTGTTTCATAATGTTTCATGGCAAAAATATTGTTCACATACATTGTATTAAAATGTTGCATAATAATGTTAAAACCAATATGACCTGTAGAAATCCTTGTTACATGCAATTATCAGAATAAAGTGATCATGAGTTACATTGTTACATGTGAAGTTACATGTTCGTTAAAACATAAATCGACGGGAGGGTACATTTCAGTAAATATCTGGGTCACCAACCAGTCATCATTTACCATGTGTATTTGGTTGTGAAACACCAGGAGGAAGACTTCAAGAAGCGACCCGACGGTAACGCAACGTCATTCCCTGACCTCATTCATTCTTCTTTTCAAGTTGTGCATCAATGAGTGAAGGACGTTCAACGACGTCGTCCTTCCCCGTGATCATTATAGTTAACGATGAATTTGATGAATGAATTAATGCATCGAGTAAACGATTATGCCATAGTATAAAACATGGATATTACACGTCCATTATTCAATTCTTGCACCAACGTTCTTTGCACCCTGTCGACTATGCATTTCCCAGCTGATCCGTGATAGGCAGAACAATGACTACAACATGTGCATCTGTGCAATAACGCCGCCATGTCTAATATGTACTACAGCCTTCAGCCTTGAGCGAAATCCACATAATATATTCATCCGGTTCCTGGGAAATGATTGCAACTTCTACATGTTCTTTAAATACACCGGTAGAACCTTTGATTTGATACGTGGAAGCTATTCTGAAATCGTTTAGTGGCAGTAAGATGCTGTATGTCAGAAATCACCTATATTCATCGCAAAACGTTACTTTGTAAGTGGAACATTCTACAAACCTGATATAAGTATAAGTGTCTGCATGGAAGACACCAAAGGTAAAGTTAAGTCAACAAACCGACTTTGCAGATTTTAATACTTTAGAGCATACTTAATCACAAATGCTTAACCAAAATTAAATTTGAAAAACATAAATAGCGTAAAACAGACGATAAAAACACGACATGCGAAATCGCGACCCAAACGAAAACTTCCGTCACTAGGGGATTCCCCTTAGTGGTTTTAAACGGGTTCCCGGTGTTTGAGGCGCTGCGCAGATTCAACCATCGGGCCGGCGCCCAGTCTGCATGGTTTACTTGGGTCCTATGTGTCCAGCACCTATTGTTATAGGGACAGATTCACCCGACCGTGGTGGTTGGTAAACACAATAGGGGATTAATGGGGCATCTTACATAGTACTTATTGATGAATATCTCACAAAACATAACGACATAAATAATTAGTGAACTATATCCACATTCACTCTAATGGGTGAACACTTTAAAATATACATCAATGAGTGAGTGAAATATTAATAATTTAGTATACGATTTGTGCTTTAAAAGTGATTACAGACAAGAAATAGTATTCCACTGTGACAAATGCGCAGGTTGGCGTACAGTTTAATCTCAATTCTAAGAGGACTTGACACATGTTTTTTGTTCCGAATACAAGTTCATGATTAAGACCGGATGTCGAACTTCCATTCATCGGAGGGTAGCCGACCACCATTTACACAAAAGACTTTGTCACGAAGCACAAGATATATCCCTGAGCAGTGAGTCGACGCCAACCAATCATCTCGAGGGGAGGCATGCACATATTCATTGAGATACCGCAAGTTGAGCAGCATAATACAGCGATCACAATCCAGTTAGTTTGACGCCACCCAAGAAGAAGTTGCGAAACCCAGACCACGCCCATGAGAGGGAGAAGCCCAGAAACCAGCTAACGATTATCACAAACAGGGGCCATTCCTATATTGAAACTGGAATTCCATGTGTTATTTGTTTGCGGTATTCATAAAGAAATTAAAAGAAACTAAATTGGTGAATTTCTTCATGAACCTCATACCATGCATACTATTATATCACATCCAATACGCCATACCTTTTTATAAAACGAGATTATTCATGCCGAGACCGAAACGCAGGTTAGACATAAATTAATCAACATCTCCGACGTCGCTAAAGAAATCAAATAAACCTTGACGTTTAACAAAAAGTTATTGAATTATCAGTCATTTCTCCCACGAGATGATAAGACGTGCACTCCATCAACAACTGGGCAGCATGTGTCAAGTTACACAATCAGGTGTATGCGGTGTCTAGCGACTAATGATAGTTTCAGATACGGCCATCTATTTCTCTACTTTTTTTCTGAAGTACTATTTCATCATATCGTATGACTAAAGGAGGATGGCTTCTGTATCAATATGAATAATTGTGTCAGTACCAAAACGTTTTATTGTTCAGTGTTCAAGAATCAATGCTCTGTGAAACCGTGTATACATTCAGTAACACTCAGTGAATCCAGGTATGCTATTGCACAGTTTCTCTACAGCTCACACGAGCTATGTATTGAGACAGATAATAGGTACACGTACCACGAGAACAGAAACTATGCAGAGTTTGTTATAAGAGACGGAATATTATTTCTTTGCTAGTCTGTAATTTGTTTGGAGACTTCCGCCAAATGTACTTGCTTAAGATATTTTACGTCTATAAATCACTGTTAAACTTATTATATTAATGTCTACTTCAAATGAAATAAACGAAAATTAGCTAGCTTCATTTACCATATGCAAAGAATGTTAGTGGCCTCAGGGTATTATGATCTGCACGCTCTACACACAGCGTTATAATGTATAACTGGACAGCTGGACACTGCAGTCGATAGTCCCAGGGACCTACGGCTTACATCTACACACAGCGTTATAATGTATAACTGGACAGCTGGACACTGCAGTCGATAGTCCCAGGGACCTACGGCTTACATCTACACAAAGCGTTATAATGTATAACTGGACAGCTGGACACTGCAGTCGATAGTCCCAGGGACCTACGGCTTACATCTACACACAGCGTTATAATGTATAACTGGACAGCTGGACACTGCAGTCGATAGTCCCAGGGACCTGCGGCTTACATCTACACAAAGCGTTATAATGAATAACTGGACAGCTGGACACTGCAGTCGATAGTCCCAGGGACCTACGGCCTATATCTGTACAGAAATATAATACAAGCACTTACACAATCAGGTGAATGCCAGTATCTGAGGACTAATTGCAGTTTTAGATAGGGCCATCTGATGTAAGAAGATGTCGTCATACCTTATGATTTGGCAGGATACATTAAAGTGAATTATTTTCATCGATAAATGTGTTGAAACTGTTTGGTTACTCGTGAGCAAAACAATTAGAATATATATTGTCGCGATCCATAGCCAACCGAGTCATAATGACCAATATTGACGCATAGCGGAGCTTTTGACCCGTCATTTGTAACAAGATAGGTTTCGTTTTGAACATGCCGCATTACGTCGTTCAGATATTGGACAGTATTTCCTATAGGTTTACAAGGTTACAAAGTTTACAGGTTACAACTGTCAAATAAGTGGCTAAATGTGCAACAAAATGTTGGACAATCCCTAACAGTGTCTGTTTTTCAATCCAATCTTGCACTTCTTACACCTTAAAATCGCAGAATTAATATTCTACATCTCTGCGTAATTGTAAAGTTAAAGTTATACCCCGGGCCGCGCGTCTGCAATTATCGCACAGCGTCATAACTATACACTACACACGTAACTATAATGTTAGTATACATACTACTGAACGTCAACATTGTGCACGTCACTTGAGTGTATACAATAATATTCCACAATACAGTGGGGAATAAATACTATCGTCATATTGATATTGATGACGGAGAACAAGGTGTCTCAGCCCTGAACACTGGATCACGCAATTACAAGACAAATATTAAATACATAGTGATATAGAATCACTGACATGAAATGTGATAGACGATTAAATGCAAGGTCAGCTGACAGGTCTGACAGTCCTCGGTGCTGAAGATGCAGAAGGCGATTCTATTCGTACAAAGCATGACAAGCGGGTACTCCTTGTGTGGGGATGAAGGTTGCTAGTCTAGTTATATCCCAGGTCCTAGTTATATCCCAGGTCCTTGTTCTATCCAAGGTCCTAGTTTTATCCCAGGTCCTAGTTATATCCTAAGTCCTAGTTATATCTAAGGTCCTTTTTATATCCAAGGTCCTAGTTATATCCTAGGTCCTAGTTATGTCCAAGGTCCTAGTTATATCCAAGATCCTAGCTATATCCTAGGTCCTAGTTATATCCCAGGTCCTGGTTAAAACATAGGTCCTAGCTATATCCAAGGTCCAAACTTCATGATAGGTCCTAGTTATATCCAAGGTCCTTGCTATATCCTAGGTCCTTGTTATATCCTAGGTCATATATCCTAGGTGCTAACTATATCATAGGTCGTACCTATATTATCCTAGGTATCGCTGTATCTAGGATGTAGCTCAACCCACGATGACATACACGTCGATGATAAATATATGCCGTTTCCGACCTTAAGTTCCATGTCAGTGAGAAACGTTGTCCACAGTCAAATATTACATTCTATTTAGGTGGGTGAAGTAATGTAATCAGCGATGTAATGTGATGTACAGTGGGTAGACAGTATGAGGGTATGATGGTATGATGGTATGATAGTATTGAACATCGGTCACGGCCCGCGTACTCGTCACAACAAAGCGTATTGGACATAGCACTACAAGTGTACTGTTGTGAGATATTCATATATACAGCACTACAAGTGTACTGTTGTGAGATATTTCATATATACAGCACTACAAGTGTACTGTTGTGAGATATTTCATATATACAGCACTACAAGTGTACTGTTGTGAGATATTTCATATATACAGCACTACAAGTGTACTGTTGTGAGATATTTCATATATACAGCACTACAAGTGTACTGTTGTGAGATATTTCATATATACAGCACTACAAGTGTACTGTTATGAGATATTTCATATATACAGCACTACAAGTGTACTGTTATGAGATATTTCATATATACAGCACTACATGTGTACTGATATGAGATATTTCATATATACAGCACTACAAGTGTACTGTTATGAGATATTTCATATATACAGCACTACAAGTGTACTGTTATGAGATATTTCATATATACAGCACTACAAGTGTACTGTTATGAGATATTTCATATATACCGCAGTACAAGTGTACTGTTGTGAGATATTTCATATATACAGCACTACAAGTGTACGGTTGTGAGATATTTCATATATACAGCACTACAAGTGGACTGTTATGAGATATTTCATATATACAGCACTACAAGTGTACTGTTATGAGATATTTCATATATACAGCACTACAAGTGTACTGTAATGAGATATTTCATATATACAACACTACAAGTGTACTGTTGTGAGATATTTCATATATACAGCACTACAAGTGTACTGTTGTGAGATATTTCATATATACAGCACTACAAGTGTACGGTTGTGAGATATTTCATATATACAGCACTACAAGTGTACTGTTGTGAGATATTTCATATATACAGCACTACAAGTGTACTGTTGTGAGATATTTCATATATACAGCACTACAAGTGGACTGTTATGAGATATTTCATATATACAGCACTACAAGTGAAATGTTATGAGATATTTCATATATACAGCACTACATGTGTACTGTAATGAGATATTTCATATATACAGCACTACAAGTGTACTGTTATGAGATACTTCATATATACAGCACTACAAGTGTACTTTAATGAGATATTTCATATATACAGCACTACAAGTGTACTGTTGTGAGATATTTCATATATACAGCACTACAAGTGTACTGTTATGAGATAGTTCATATATACAGCACTACAAGTGTACTGTAATGAGATATTTCATATATACAGCACTACAAGTGTACTGTTGTGAGATATTTCATATATATAGCATAGCAACCTGTTGCCGTGCCCAATATTTAAATAGTAGAACATAGTAGATTAGAATATTAAGCACACTGGCCAGATACATAGACATGGTAAAGACCGGATAAGACGAACTCAAATTGATCGTCATGTTTAGTTCGGCATAGCCGAAGTTACCTTTTATATGAAAATACATGTAACTTGATTACCACAATTAAAGACTAAACACCTGATTTGGTATAACCGAATGTTCGTTATTACCGACTTCGTATAACTCGATGTCAACTGCACATTCACTCGACATTATCATGAATATACATGTATATAGACATCATACTAGTAACATACAGGCTACGACGTATAGGTTTGTTAACTTTAAATGGAAGTATTATCAAAGAGAAGGAACTGATGTCAATGGTTACACAACGCTAAGAACATATTAGGAATGAACGTATGTATAGTCCGACGTGATGGCTTCTACTGCGCATGTCTATGATGACAGAGATAGTTATATACTGGTCGGTCATATGTCGGCCGAGACAGGCATGCATGCAGTGCTGAGGACTAACACTTGTGATGAAGCGTTGATATATGAAACTTTAAGCTGGAAGCCTGTAGTTAAATGAGTATTCGCCAGGCAACGCAACAATACTTTGAATCGGTTGATGTAAGTATTGGTCCACGTGACACATTCTTGACCTATCTAGCCAGCACATCCCCACGGTTGGGTATCCTGATGGCGTGGTAGGCGTGGCACTTCGAATGTCCTCGTAAGCCATTAATTATATAAATAAGTCAGGCACACACCCTTGTCTGTGCGGCAGCACTTTCCACGTCAGTTTGTAGGGCTGGTCAGATCAGGATTGTTCGCCTCGCAGCTGTGTTTCTCGTGCAGCTGTACGCCTGATGAAGCTGTGTGCGACACTAACAGGTACTTTCACCAGCTGGGGAACCTGCAAAGCCGTGCTTCTTCCGCATCTGTGTGTTCATCACCCAGCTGATGTAGGCCATGAGGATGTCGTCCATGTTGTGCCCCTGAAACATGGACGTCGTAGAATAGCCAAGTCTCACTGCAAGTCAACACTTTATAAATTAATAAAACCATATATATTAGAATGAGGAAATATTTGTTTGTTGTTTAACGCTGTACTCAGCACTATTCCAGCTATATGATGGAGGCCTGTAAATAAACGAGTCTGGACCAGACAATCCAGTGATTGACATCTCGATCCAGACAATTGGGATATGATGACATTCATCAACTAAGGCAGCGAGCCTGACCACCCGATCCCGTTACTTGCCTCAAACGACATACATGGCTTGCTGAAGATCTATTCTAACCCGGATATTCACAGGTTGAATGAGGAAATAAGAAAACGTAATTCTTTATGGACAACAACTAGACACTCCAGCTTGATAACGGTGTAAGAATCTACATCGAAACGTCGCTATATACAATAATTCAGAAGTTGTTATCCATAAAGTTGCATGTTTATATTGTTACTGACAACTTCAGGAATGCCAAACAAACAGTCATATCTGGAAGGCTGTTGACAACATGTATTGTATTGAGAGTGACAGTGTAAAAAACGGTAGCGTTCAAAATGAAATCATTCAAAATACGAAATGTCTTGATTAACGAAACACAAGTTCAGAACATGTCCCCTTGTATACGTGTCCGCTTTCCCAGTACTGTCCAAGAACTCGGGTGTCCAAATTAACAGGGTTCAGAAGAACAGGTTTTGACAGTATGTGTATAGTGAGTGAGTTGGGTTTAACGCCGCTTTTAACATTATTCCAGTTATATCACGGCGTGTCAGCCACCCGTGCCCACCCACCACCCACCCCAGTATAACACTAAGTCTGGGTATAATGCATCAGAATCCATTCTCCAAAAGAAAGCTCCATATTGTTAATACCCATGTCTTTGGATTATTGTTCATTCAGTTTCTTTCTCAGCTCCCTGGGGAGTCTACGTATGTCAGATATGTTCCCATAGTTACCACGCTTGTTTCCAGCAGCATCTTGGTGGTGTTCGTCCCATCTATCACCATCAGCGTGATGGAGTCTTCGTCGAAGGCCCAGTTGGGGATCTGTGAGAACTCCAGTGTCCTCAACATTCTCTGCAATGGAGAGAGCACACCATGCACATATGACAGTAGATGTCGAAAACCTTAATGAGTGTTATATGTTTAGGGATTGTACACTGTAACGACCGAAAGCATGTAATGGATACATTGTGTATTAAACGTGTGTCCCCACAGTGTGTGGACCGCCTCCGTGGTCTAGTGGATAGAGTCCAGAGAGCAGAATGTCGGGGTAAGATCCCCGGCCGCGTCATACCAACAGACGTTAGCGATGGCATTGGTTCATTGTTGATCACCTTTCAGCGACAATTAACTGTTGGCTTTCATTGTTAAGTTTCCACCTTTGTTATCTTATTACTTTTGTTGTTCTTACAGGTACCTATAAATGTTCAGTTCTCTGCCTCATAGCATTTATTCACCTGATGAAGGAGTAAGCATATACCCCGAAACGTTGTGTTCCTCATAATAAAGAAGCTGACACCCATAATTTCTCATCTTTATGGCATTTGTTGTTTCCCTGCCTGGCGCTCGACATTAAGGGGATCACACAATGACGGGCGGCTCAGAGACAGTATCATGTGACCTGAACGGGACGTTATATAAAAAAACAGTTTCACCTCGTTTCACCTCATCTCACCTCATTACCATTGGATTGCATACAACAGATATGAAGTAGAATGTCACCACAGCACAAGACAGCCAGTGAATATACCGAGGCAGCGCGTGTCTGGTGGAGCTAAGGTGACCGTTGTTCATGCTATCAATCACTGGTTTGTCTGGCCTAAATTCAGTTAGCGCCAGTCAGCCGTGATGAAGTCGGAACATTGCAAGACAATCCCCAGGCACACCCACACCCAGCGTGAGAACAGAGCAGTACACAGTTGACGGACTTCAGCCCCAAGGGTCAATGTCACGTGGAGTCCGTTTTGAGAAAACTGATGCAAACCATAACCATATGCATGCTAATGAACAATTTTTATTCACCGATAAATTCCTGAACTTTAACGAATTCCGACAACAGACATATACATGTTGCTAAAAAAACATTTAAGAAAAGAAATAAGCTTACGTTTGAATTTGTGTCAGGGTGGAAAGGGCCAATGTCTGTATCTTGACCCTTTTTACCCTCAGGCATTTGCATGGGATTTAACATGAGAGATTGATAAAACAACTACTGAAAGTACAAACACATACTAGCGAAGTTCTTTTAAATGATTTAAACTAATGTCAACTTTGTTGAAATAGATGAAACATAATAATAATGTTTCCAAATCTCTTAAACAACCCACACGGAAATGAGAGCTAAAAGGGCCAAAATCTAGCAAAGTGGCTTTGGCCCTTTTGGAACTTGATTTTGGCCCTTTTTACAGAATTTTAAGTAGATATATTTCATAAATTTATCAAGGAAAACATGCAATATTTTTTCTACAAATAGACATAGATGCTAGTTATGCAATGATATGCAAAAAGGGCCAAAGGTCTGTGGTGAACTCACCCTGGTGTTGGAGTCAATCAGGTGCAGCCCTGTCATATTGATGGCCACCAGGAGGTTCTTGGGAAGGTCTTTTTGAGCTCGTTGCTGGAAGCAATGTTTCCCCGACCATTATATCATGTCATGTTACAAGAACCTGATGACGTGAAGCATACCACAAAGATCCTGGGACTGATCTTGTGACAAACATAGTATTTATTGTTAACAGCCATCGTGATTGTGAAATGGTTGCTTTCATATTCAGTGGGGATAGTGTATGGCCATTCGTGGACAATATTGTTACCTCGAAGGTTACTTTGACATGTATGCTGCAGTTGCTTATGTGCTTGTGTCCTTACGATTAGCATGTAATAGCAGAGTTTTGAACAGGGTTTTGAAAAGGGTTGGTGATTAATCAACTGCTTAGAGCAATGTGTCTTGAATGCGTCACAGCCATGTTGAATGGTCACTTACCTTGACTTCAAAGAATATGGATCCATATGTCGTGAGATGGCTAATGACCTTGAGGAAGGAAGCCTTGGCTTGATCCTGGCTCAGATCCTTACTCTCGTCGTAGTACTGAGTGATTGTCTGCCAACATGATACTGGTCATTAGGGTGAGTGAGTGAGTGGACGCAAGACTTGACACCATGTGGTAAAAAGCCAACAGCATGACTATGGTGCAAACAAAGCTAAGAACATCATCAGGGAGAAAAGAGGATTGGCATCAAAGAAAAGGTTCCTGCCGAGGTAATGTAACATGCACAGCGAATTGCTCGCCAACTTGCCTCCGATGGCTATGTTGATAACAAACATAATAATGAAATGAATAACACGGATGGCCTACATTGCGACCCCAATGATTGTGTGTCAGTAAGATGGCCTACCTTGGACCAGTATTGTTGTAAACTGTCTAGCCTACCTTGGACCAGTATTGTTGTAAACTGTCTAGCCTACCTTAGACCAGTATTGTTGTAAACTGTCTACCCTACATTGGACCAGTATTGTTGTAAACTGTCTAGCCTACATTGGACCAGTATTGTTGTAAACTGTCTAGCCTACCTTAGACCAGTATTGTTGTAAACTGTCTAGCCTACCTTAGACCAGTATTGTTGTAAACTGTCTAGCCTACCTTAGACCAGTATTGTTGTAAACTGTCTAGCCTACCTTAGACCAGTATTGTTGTAAACTGTCTAGCCTACCTTGGACCAGTATTGTTGTAAACTGTCTAGCCTACCTTGGACCAGTATTGTTGTAAACTGTCTAGCCTAACTTGGACCAGTATTGTGTGAACTGTGTCTAGCCTACCTTGGACCAGTATTGTTGTAAACTGTCTAGCCTACCTTGGACCAGTATCGTGTGAACTGTGTCTAGCCTACCTTGGACCAGTATTGTTGAAAACTGTCTAGCCTACCTTGGACCAGTATTCCGAGGACTGCGTCTGCAACAGCTTCTTCGGGGCAATGCTCTTGCTGACCTCACTGAAAATATTGAAATCATCAGAATATACACTTGGTAAATAGTGGTATTCCAGACGTACTTGATGAACTTCACACATTTACAATAAGTATTGTTGAGTAGAAATCAAAGAGAGGCCTGTAGAGATCCGGGGTAGAATAGGTCTTCAGCAAACCCATACTTGCCGTAAAAGGCGACTATGCTTGTTGTAAGAGGCGACTAACGGGACCGGGTGGTCAGGCTCACTGACTTGGTTGATGCATGCCATCGTATCCCAATTGCGTGGATCGATGCTCATGATATCAATCACTGGATTGTCAGGTCCAGACTCGATTATTTACATACCGACGTATAGCAATATAACTGGAATATTGATGATTGTGGCATTAAACAACAAACAAACAATATAGACCTAGGGGCCAACTGAAAACGATATATCTGCAGATCGTCTTCAGAAAGACTATTACAGTAAGTGTCACTGAGTGGACATGGCTTATGTGAGTGGACATGGCTTATGGTCACTAGTACCTGAATGTTTCCTTGAGTGGCTTGGGTTCGTTGCCGTACTTGGCCCTGTACGCGAGAGATGCGAGTCTGGCGGTCACGTCATCTGTAGTCTGGTGATACCCACGGATGAAGTTGGGCAGCTCCTGCAACAGGAAGAGCTCGGTTTCACTGTTGTCCCTGTTTGAGTTTTAAAGATATAACTGGATACTTCTTACATACTTCTTTTCATTGAAAGGAGTATTAACTATGTGCCAACCTATGTGTTCCCTGGAGCCGCGGTATGTGGAGTAGGACCAACCTACGGCAATAGGACACACCTGCGAGTGTGTGAGTATAGTTTTACGCCGCTGTTAGTAATATCCAACAATATCACGGCAGGGGACACCAGAAATGGGCTTCACACATTGTACCCGTGTCGGAATCAAACCCGTGTTTTAACGTGCTTTAACCACTAGGCTACCTGACAGCTCATATGCCTGCGGGAAGTGGAAGGACACCTACCTGCGGGAAGTGGAAGCACACATACCTGCGGGAAGTGGAAGCACACATACCTGCGGGAAGTGGAAGCACACATACCTGCGGGAAGTGGAAGCACACATACCTGCTGGCAGTGGAAGGACACATACCTGCGGGAAGTGGAAGCACACATACCTGCGGGAAGTGGAAGGGCACATACCTGCGGGAAGTGGAAGCACACCTACCTGCGGGAAGTGGAAGGACACATACCTGCGGAAAGTGGAAGCACACATACCTGCGGGAAGTGGAAGCACACCTACCTGCGGGAAGTGGAAGCACACATACCTGCGGGAAGTGGAAGCACACCTACCTGCGGGAAGTGGAAGCACACATACCTGCGGGAAGTGGAAGGACACATACCTGCGGAAAGTGGAAGCACACATACCTGCGGGAAGTGGAAGCACACCTACCTGCGGGAAGTGGAAGCACACCTACCTGCGGGAAGTGGAAGGACACATACCTGCGGGAAGTGGAAGCACACATACCTGCGGGAAGTGGAAGGGCACATACCTGCGGGAAGTGGAAGCACACCTACCTGCGGGAAGTGGAAGGACACATACCTGCGGAAAGTGGAAGCACACATACCTGCGGGAAGTGGAAGCACACCTACCTGCGGGAAGTGGAAGCACACATACCTGCGGGAAGTGGAAGGACACATACCTGCGGAAAGTGGAAGCACACATACCTGCGGGAAGTGGAAGCACACCTACCTGCGGGAAGTGGAAGCACACATACCTGCGGGAAGTGGAAGGACACATACCTGCGGGAAGTGGAAGCACACATACCTGCGGGAAGTGGAAGCACACATACCTGCGGAAATGGGAAGCACATATACCTGCGGGAAGTGGAAGCACACCTACCTGCGGGAAGTGGAAGGACACATACCTGCGGGAAGTGGAAGCACACATACCTGCGGGAAGTGGAAGCACACCTACCTGCGGGAAGTGGAAGCACATATAGCTGCGGGAAGTGGAAGGACACATACCTGCGGGAAGTGGAAGCACACATACCTGCGGGAAGTGGAAGGGCACATACCTGCGGGAAGTGGAAGCACACCTACCTGCGGGAAGTGGAAGCACATATAGCTGCGGGAAGTGGAAGGACACATACCTGCGGGAAGTGGAAGCACACATAGCTGCGGAAAGTGGAAGCACACATAGCTGCGGGAAATGGAAGCACACATACCTGCGGGAAGTGGAAGCACACCAACCTGTGGGAAGTGGAAGCACACATACCTGCGGGAAGTGGAAGGACACATGCCTGCGGAAAGTGGAAGCACACATACCTGCGGGAAATGGAAGCACACATACCTGCGGGAAGTGGAAGCACACATACCTGCGGGAAGTGGAAGCACACATACCTGCGGGAAGTGGAAGCACACCTACCTGCGGGAAGTGGAAGGACACATACCTGCGGGAAGTGGAAGCACACCAACCTGCGGGAAGTGGAAGCACACCTACCTGCGGGAAGTGGAAGCACACCTACCTGCGGGAAGTGGAAGCACACTTACCTGCGGGAAGTGGAAGCACACCTACCTGCGGGAAGTGGAAGCACACCTACCTGCGGGAAGTGGAAGGACACATACCTGCGGGAAGTGGAAGCACACCTACCTGCGGGAAGTGGAAGCACACATACCTGCGGGAAGTGGAAGCACACTTACCTGCGGGAAGTGGAAGGACACATACCTGCGGAAAGTGGAAGCACACATACCTGCGGGAAGTGGAAGCACACATACCTGCGGGAAGTGGAAGCACACATACCTGCGGGAAGTGGAAGCACACATACCTGCGGGAAGTGGAAGGACACCTACCTGCGGGAAGTGGAAGCACACATACCTGCGGGAAGTGGAAGGACACATACCTGCGGGAAGTGGAAGCACACATACCTGCGGGAAGTGGAAGCACACCTACCTGCGGGAAGTGGAAGCACACATACCTGCGGGAAGTGGAAGCACACATACCTGCGGGAAGTGGAAGGACACATGCCTGCGGGAAGTGGAAGCACACATACCTGCGGGAAGTGGAAGGACACATACCTGCGGAAAGTGGAAGCACACCTACCTGCGGGAAATGGAAGCACACATACCTGCGGGAAGTGGAAGCACACATACCTGCGGGAAGTGGAAGGACACATAGCTGCGGGAAGTGGAAGCACACATACCTGCGGGAAGTGGAAGCACACATACCTGTGGGAAGTGGAAGCACACATAGCTGCGGGAAGTGGAAGGACACATACCTGCGGGAAGTGGAAGCACACCTACCTGCGGGAAATGGAAGCACATATAACTGCGGGAAGTGGAAGCACACATAACTGCGGGAAGTGGAAGCACACATACCTGCGGGAAGTGAAAGCACACATACCTGCGGGAAGTGGAAGCACACATACCTGCGGGAAATGGAAGGATACATAACTGCGGGAAATGGAAGCACACATACCTGCGGGAAGTGGAAGCACACATACCTGCGGGAAGTGGAAGCACACATACCTGCGGGAAATGGAAGGATACATAACTGCGGGAAGTGGAAGCACACATACCTGCGGGAAGTGGAAGGACACATACCTGCGGGAAGTGGAAGCACACATACCTGCGGGAAGTGGAAGCACACATACCTGCGGGAAGTGGAAGCACACATACCTGCGGGAAATGGAAGGATACATAACTGCGGGAAGTGGAAGCACACCTACCTGCGGGAAGTGGAAGGACACATACCTTCGGGAAGTGGAAGCACACATACCTGCGGGAAGTGGAAGCACACATCGGCCACCGAGTCGTGTCCAGGCTTGATATTGACCCACACCTTCTTCAGCATCACCAGGACCGGGGTCAGCGGACCGGACACTGGAACACGTGGACGGACATTACAGCTACACAGAGGGACACACATGAACCAGAGTTCCAATGATCAGAGTATCGATGATGAAAACATCATTTACCTTTCAGCGAAAAATGCTATTAAAATATTAGACAAGAATATTCCATCCACATATATACACAAGATGATGACCTATACTACAGTATCTACGGCTTTAGTTGAGATAATGCTATCTACCATATTACTCCTCCGCCCGCCCGACCGCGGGACTCAACCCAGCCCTACCTTTCACACATCCATCCACCCACCCCTCACACACACACACACACACCCTGTATACGGGTCGGTTACTATACTTACGTCTTGCCCGAATGGCGGCTTTCTGAGACACCCAGTACATCTCGGCATGCGACAGGGCGTCAAAGTAGTACTCGTTTTCTTGGAGGGAGTGAACTGAATTTGGAAACAGGATCATTTATTAAGCTAGCATGTCATTGTGCAAGACTAATTTCAATTTCAATCTGGACAATAATTGATAACTTTCTTTTGTAAGATCTGAAGGACGATCGTCATAATTCAGTGCCCGGATGTTCTGACACAATGTTTTCTTCCACTGCATGGACGAATGCTGAGATGGCGTCACATGCACTATCCTCACTTCTTTTGTATATTCAAATAGCTGTCTATTTGTTATGTTTTCATCTACAAGTTCATCATTTACACACTGACTATAATAACATACTGACCGCTGTCCTGGAAGCTCATGAACAAGCTGTACTCTTCCCACGTCTTCAGGCCAAGTCTCGTGCACACCTCTCGCTTAATGTCGATGATTCTCGTCACTGACGTCACGTCGAATGTCTTAAAAAACAACATCATATCCGTTCTACATACTTCTACGTAAAGTCGACAAAAACTACATCAGTGGTAATAACATAGGGGATAACTAAGATGTGTATTGTAGATGACTCTCACATCAACATTACTCCACGATACACAGAGGGAGATTGTACAACGCATGAACTAAGATCTAGTGTAGTAATCAGTCACTATGCTGTGATTAGGTTTCGGCGTGCTGCATCACGATGGTCGTATACTTGTGTCGCTTGATACAGAAACTAACATCACACCGCCACGTGGGATAGATGGGGTTAAGGCACTCTACCACCATCAGGACATGGTGGCCAGTACTTCCAGGATACTTGGTCGATCTTGTTCCACACCAACGTAAATGAGTTAAAGTGGAAGTTAATAAGCGTGACAGCACAATGGATAACGGTTATAAGAACACTGACGTTTACATGATGTGGTGGGTCTAGATGTTTAAAGCGACTCGGTTCGCTGTGCAGACTGACAGTGTACCAGATACCGATACACGGGTTCGAATCGAGTTCGTTTCTGGATTTGACAGCACCATACAGCACGTACTCGTTGTGAAGTCACGGATGGCCCAGTTATCTAAGGCGCCGCTATTCGCTGTACAGAGATGCGTCCGTTGGGCACGCCAGACACCTATGTTCGCCCCGATTCTGTTTCTAGGTTTGTCAGCATCATACCCGTGCTCGTGGGTTTCACCAAAGTGGTACACGTCTGAGTCCTGCATCACTTCAGGCTTTCCTCCCACATTAAGCTGACGTACCACGATGTAACTTGAATACTATTTAAAGTTGCCTTGAATATAACTCACGTACTGTTAAACGACAAACAGACCAGAGGTCAAGCTTACCTGACAGGTGTTGTCAGGGATGTACACCTTCACTCGGACAGTGGGCAGCTTCCTGGACAGCATGTCGTGCTCAGCTGGGTGGGGCGGCCACAGTCGACAGCCGCGTCTACACAGTATTAGGTTTGTCAGTATCTACGTTAACTATGGATGTATTTCATAATGGGTGCTCTATCTTCCTTAAATACAAATATTTCAATGATTGTCCAATAAAACATATTTACACAGTTTCGAATAATTTATTATTGTTACTTTCTAACATTGACATACATGTACACATCATGTAGTAAATCAATGAGCGTGCACTCTGTGACTTGCTGGATCGCGTGTCCTCGCTCCCCGTCGGCGTGGATCATATTGCTCACAACATCAATCACTGGATTATCTGGCCCAGATTCCATTATTTACATGTCGCAGTCACGTAACTGGAATACTGCTGATTGCGGCGTCAAACAATACACAAACAAACAAAACGCTCTATTGTTTATAAAAACTGGCTTTTGACATAGGTTTCAACTGTTCAATCCATAACGAGTTCTCAATCAAAATACCCACAAAGACTAAAGTGAACGCTACTCACGTCTTAGCTCTCTCCAGCCTCTCACCACACAGCTTGGCGATGGGGAGAGGGCTTGACCGCACAAACTTCTGCGCCTCATCATACAGCCCCTCCCCCGGGATCGCCGTCGTAGCCAGCATCAGCAGCAACAACCACCCACGTTCCTCACTTGACCTGCAGACACAGCGACGTGGCGGGTCAATGTCAAATACAAATTAATACAAATAAATGTAATTTATTTAATTCCTAATACATTTCTCTTCTGGTCAAATCTATTACCAATGTGAAAATTACTTAACTTTATGACACGCTATGCGTTTAAGAACTTTGTCGTTCTGCATGTATGCAAGTTTGTAGATAACAAGGAGGATGTAATCTTTTATCAAACTGTCAGGATTCTCACTTGTTCGAGTTGTTGGTCAGTTGCTTGATAACTTGACAGAAAACTTCATCTCGTAAATATCTCTGAAAAAAAACCTTCATTAAGAATCCACAAAACCGTTTCACTGTAATTTAACATATCTCACTCTAGGAAATTCATTCGCCAATCAAGGGGCATAACTAAGCTATTACCCAATCCATGTGTGGCCACGTGTCACTCCCGAATGGATTATGTATGCTATGGAGGGACGCGGATTGTGACGAATGGTAATACATGAGACTTACAGAGCGTCGTCAAAAGTAGTTAGTTGGTCACAACTGTAAATTTTGTCACAAATGGTATTATGGTCATACTCGGTAATATTGTCACAATTGGTAATTTGTTAACATTTGGTAATATTGTCACAATTGGTAATTTGTTAACATTTGGTAATATTGTCACAATTGGTAATTGGGTAACATCTGGTAATATTGTCACAATGGGTAATTTGGTAACATCTGGTAATATTGTCACAATGGGTAATTTGGTAACATCTGGTAATATTGTCACAAGGAGTGGATATGTCACAGTGAGTAGCTTGGGCATAAGTGGTCTCAATTTGTAATATGGTTATTTGGTTACATCTGGTGCTACAGCTACAGCTATTAATACGGTCGCAATGGGTAATATGGTTATTTGGTTACATCTGGTGCTACAGCTATAGCTATTAATACGGTCGCAATGGGTAATATGGTCATAAGGGGTAATATGGTCACAAGTTGTAATGCGATCACAATGGATAATATGGTCACAAGTGGTAACATAGTCACAGGTGGTAATACGACCACAAGCGGTAATAGGGTCACAAGGGGAAATACGGTCGCAAGTGGTAATATGGCCACAAGTGATAATATGGTCACAAGAGGTAATATGGTCACGCGTGGTAATATGGTCGCAAGTGGTAATATGGTCACAATCGGTAATATAGTCACAAGTGGTAATATGGTCGCAAGTGGTAATATGGTCAGAAGTGATAATATGGTTATTATAGGTAGTATAGTCACAAGTGGTAATATGGTCGCAAGTGGTAATATGATCACAAGTGATAATATGGTTATAATAGGTAGTATAGTCACAAGTGGTAATATGGTCGCAAGTGATAATATGGTTATTATAGGTAGTATAGTCACAAGTGGTAATATGGTCGCAAGTGGTAATATGGTCACAAGTGATAATATGGTTATAATAGGTAATATGGTCACAAGTGGTAATATGGTCACAAGTGCTGACATTGCTGCTCCCTCCGTTACACTCACACTTCTGCTGGCCGGCTCGACGATCCAGCGATTGGCCAGCTCAATGTCCGTCACATTGTCCTTCAGGAGTGCGTCCCCCATGAACTGCTGGACTGGTGGTAAGGTCAAGGTCAACAATAAAACTAATTATCCTTTTAATCGGCAAATGATTGTAGAAACAGGTAATAATTTATTCAACTGGCACTAAATATCAATAAAAAAAAATGTTTATTAATATAACTATCATACATTTGTTGTAGAGATATTCCATATCTGGATCAAGTATAAGGGAATACAGGAAACTATCCGTATCCAACAACGGGCTTATCACGGCAGTTATTTTATCACGGCAGAATGCAAACGCGGCCATGACGTATGAGAAGATAGATATGGGTTAATTCTGATTTGATTATTTTGGGGAAGACAAATAGTAACATATGATTTACGCAGCTATAAAACAGACAGTCGGTGGTATGCGTGGGACGTGATTAACGACGGACTCATGTCACGATGAGATATGTTTTGCAACAATAAAACCGAATCAGGCGATAACTGCCCAGAGGTCACATTCACCCGATGACCCCTGCCGGAAGCCAGGCTGCCGATACATCTTCCTCCCCACGTGTGTAACGAACCACGTGGATACATTCCAGCAGGTATATGTCGGTGTGTCGATATTGTACAGGATATATGTTCCAAGGTACAACTAGGGACAAAGGCAGACTTATATCTCTGTTAGTCGAGGAACCCACTGTTATAAAGAAGTGTCCAGTGTGTATGAAATATAGTCCATGTCATAGCGACGACTTATCTGGTTAAGTACAATATGAGTCGTTCATGTGAGCATTCGTTGAATACCTGTATCACCTCATTCGTTTTCGGTAAATCCTAATTATTGCTATCGTCAACTGATAAACTTATGTGACCATTCAAATCAATTCGTGACATCAGAAGTATTAAGAAAATAGTTTCATGTCAATGTTTCCCGTTCCTGTCTGTTTCTAGTTATTGACTTTAGCCTAGTCATGAAACCTCGACGAGGCAATTTGTTCCGGTCGGGCTCACTGTTATATTTCACGATGCATCTTTCGTTAACACTGAGTTGGAACTGATAGCAGGAGGGGATGTGTGAGTGATGTTTACGCCGGTTTAGCAACATTCCAGTAAGTCTTGGAACACCAGGGATGAAACATTACATCACAGGGCCGAACCGGGGTCTCAACCGTGACAAGCGAACACAATATTAATAACCAGTAGTTAAACACGCCGGTCCTATTAGTTTGTTTTGTCTGTTTGTTGTTTAACCCCGCACTCAGCAATATTCCAGTTCTATAACGGCGGTCTGTAAATAATCGAGTCTGGACCAGACAATACAGTGATTGACATCATGAGCATCGATCCAAGCAGTTGGAATACGATGACATGCATCAACCAAGTCAGCCAACCTGACCACCCGATGCTGGCATCCTCTTACGACAAACATGGTCGCCTTTTACGGCAAGAATGGGTTGCTGAAGGTCTATTCTACCCCGGGTCTTCACGGGTCCCCTATTGGTAACACAACTACCCACGCCGACCAGACACATGGCAGCTGTGGAGACAGCTGTGCGGCTGCAGGAAGCACGGGGAAGGATATCAGTGAATGTTCGACAAGCCATGAGGCGCGTGTCATCTCGGTTCAAGGACTTTCTCAGGAGGGGCTTCTTGATGGGGTCCCTGCTGAACTGCCAGATGAGGTCACTCTTGCCCTTCCCGCGTTTTATAGAAGCCTTGTTGAACATCTTCGTCACGGCATTCTCGTTGGGTTGTCTGGAAAAGATGCTTTGTCTTAACAGTGACGTCAGAGAATTAGCAGAGTGAGTGAGTGAGTATGGTGTTTCGGGGCTTTTAGCAATAATCCAGCAATATCATGGCGGGGAAAAAAGAAGTAGGTTTCTCACATTGTACCCATGTAGGGAATCGAACCCGGGTCTTTGGTGTGAACAAACGCTTTAACCACTAGGCTACCCCACCGCCCCAAAGAGTATGAGTAGAATAGGCTGGGAACATGTGAATGCGAACATGATATTTTGCATGGCTTAAGATCCAAAACGAAAAGTAGTAATGGTTAATATATATGTTATTGGTATGCAAAAATGCCTTGCATAGAGCAGTATGATATTTTGAATAATAAGATACAGTATGTATTTTTTAATGAGATTTTTAGCATTGCTGGTCGTTAACTGTCGCCTGCAGCAACAGACAAGCATAGAGCTTCATTTAATACACAGACAGACTCCCGGAATGTTTCTGGTAGCTGTTAACAAGAGGTGAGGACGGGCTGCATGCATAAAGTTCTTTGTTCTCACCTGAAATGATATCTTGAGTATTTCTGGAGTGTATGAGGCCGGCCATCGTCCTGGTTCCTGAACACCTGAGTGTCTCTCTCTAATTGCACTGTAAACATTGTCTGAAACAGACACACTGACGTGACTAGGGAACCACGCCCCCTGAAGTCGCAGCCCTGTTTGATGGTAACAGTTTCAAGCATCGTCATCAATAGTTACTTACTTACAAACTTACTTTATTTTAATTTTTTTGTGAAAATAGTAATTGATATCATGGTCTGTATTGCCTCCACGTCTTTATCCAGTTGACAAAGTCTGACCATTCAGTGCTCAGCGTGTCAGCTTGATGTTGGAAAAGACACTGAAGTGACACAAGCCGTGTGTGTGCATGTGTGTGTGTGTGTGTGAATGTGTGTGTATGCGTGTGTGATTGTGTGAATGTGTGTATGCATGTGTGTGAATGTGTGTGTATGTGTGTATGCGTGCGTGTATGTATGTTTTTGTATGTGTGTGCATGTGTATGTGTGTGAATGTGTGTGCATGTGTTTGTGTGTGAATGTGTGTATACGTGTGTATGAGTGTGCATGTGTGTGAATGTGTGCGGAAGTGTATGTGTTTGCATGTGTGGGGAAGTATGTGTATGTGTATGCACGTGTGCGCATGTGCATATGTATGAATGTGTGTGCATGTCCATGTGTATGAATGCGTGTATGTGTGTTTGAGTGTGCATATGTGTGAATGTGTGCGGAAGTGTATGTGTGTGCATGTGTGTGTATGAATGCGCTATGCGTGTATAAGTGTGTTAATGTGTGCGCATTAATGTGTATTTGCGTATATACAGGTGTGTGTGTTTGTTAGTGTGTGCGATTCTGTGCTAGAGAAATGTGTGTGTATGCGTGTGTGTGTGTATGTGTGTATGCAGTGCCAGATCAGCTTACCAGGACCTCTGAGGAAGGCTCATCCACGGTGTTGAGGACACAGACCAGGTCCCGCGGTACGTCACACGGCTTGCCTGTCCTCTGACACACGCCACGGAAGGGGTCCAGCTTTTTGTATTCCTTGACTGCCTTGTCCAGCGTGATGAGGTCTCCCTTCTTCAGATCTACAAGAAGAAACAACGTTTATGCTGTCTTCCTATATTCTATTTGATCTATCGGCCAGATTTAACGATATGGTACTGTTAATAAATAATAATAATAAAAGACACAAAACGCTTTCTATATTCATACGAAATAGTGATGACACCAGGTGTTCGCAAAAGGTAAATCAAAATAGGGAATTGCCTCGGACATAATTTATGTCAATTATGCGTCAAATTTGGATATATCCCACATAAGTCTACAACAAAAAATTGAAAGCTTTTCTGAGGCCTTGGGTGATGTAACATTGATTAGACAACTTCTGAGCAAAACGCTCAGCATGTGACGCTCTTTGAAATCTTGCTGGAAAGAGCATCCTCGATTGTACCTCAATAGTTGAGAAATGTGGACACCAAGGATTTAAGCTGCAGGAATATTGTTGGTCATAAAGGGAAAGTTGACTTTTGGAAAGTTGAAGTCATCCCTCTCGTCATCCAATCTTGTGGAGAGTGTTTTGTCACTCTAACTCTTTTAACCTAGACCTAAATATGAAACAGATGAGGCGGTCTCACCGGTCTCTGTAGTTATATTTCTTGCTCAGGTGGGTAAATCAGTGGAAGGGAATTGGCATTTGGATTGTTATTGAACGATATTAGATCATCGATATACCTGAAGCTTATGTTCAACTTCTTGGCCAAATTACCTTGTTTTGACTTTGTCAATGCGAACAGACAGAAATTCCAATTCATATACATAAAGAAACAGTTCCGCAAGAAGGGGCCATTTGGATGCCAACGTCCTGCCGAAATGTCTTAAACCAAAATTTTACATATACTTTATCAATGAGGAAGTCCGACATTTCACATATTGCTTTCTCATTAAACTTGGAGTTGGCATTTACTTTCATTTTTAGACATGTAGACATGTGTCTATATTCATGGTCACCTTGTTTGTAACAAAAGCCCCATGGATCAAGACTTGAAGTTTTCTCTTAATGTGAAGTTGAAAAATCAGTTGTTTTGACTGAATTGAACCTGGTGTTTTCTGAGATTGTGAAACATCAAGCAAATCCGTTGAGTTTTTGAGAATCCCCATGGTATTAATTCCACTTGTCTCAAATGCCTCCTGTGAATAGAATATAAAGAAGGCCATTCCTTGATTGTATTGAGGCTTATGGTTAATCGTTGAGACAGGGTTTTGGTGGTACATTTGCTGGACACAGCAATATCTCTCTCTTTGTACCTACTTTTATTGAGCTTTGGAACTCAGTACATCAAAGGAATGGACATGTCTTGGCGGTTTTAGAGTCAAGCCAGAAAAAGGGGATAGTATTGACTATATAAACTAGGTATGGGCCTTGCTTGTTGTCGATGACTATATAAACTAGGAATGTACCTTGCTTGTTCTCGATGACTATATAAGCCAGTTATGTACCTTGCTTGTTGTCGATGACTATAAGAGCCAGGAATGTACCTTGCTTCTTGTCGATGACTATATAAACTAGGTATGTGCCTTGCTTGTTGTCGATGACTATATAAGCCAGGAATGTACCTTGCTTGTTGTCGATGACTATATAAGCCAGTTATGTACCTTGCTTGTTGTCGATGACTATATAAACTAGTAATGTACCTTGCTTGTTGTCGATGACTATATAAACTAGGAATGTACCTTGCTTGTTGTCGATGACTATATAAGCCAGGAATGTACCTTGCTTGTTGTCGATGACTATATAAGCCAGGAATGTACCTTGCTTGTTGTCGATGACTATATAAGCCAGTTATGTACCTTGCTTGTTGTCGATGACTATATAAACTAGTAATGTACCTTGCTTGTTGTCGATGACTATATAAACTAGGTATGTGCCTTGCTTGTTGTCGATGATTATATAAACTAGGTATGTGCCTTGCTTGTTGTCGATGATTATATAAACTAGGTATGTGCCTTGCTTGTTGTCGATGACTTTGTAAACTAAGAATGTACCTTGCTTGTCTTTTATGAATATATGAGCCAGGAATGTACCTTGCTTGTTGTCGATGACTATTGCGTACTTGGAGCGCATCTGCAGGCCTTCTATGAATGACGCCAGGAGGAGATGGAAGTCATCGGAGTGATTGGACATGACGGAGTACTCCTCATCCTTGACGGTGGTGATGTTAACTGTGTGTCTGAAACCAGGAGAACATCGGTACAGGGCCATGTGAGACTGGGACACCTACCTGACACCTAGCTGACATATATCTGTCACCTGCCATATACCTGTCATATACCTGACATAAACCTGACATATACCTGACATAAATCTGACATATACCTGACATATACCTGACATATACCTGACATAAATCTGATATATACCTGACATATACCTGTCATATACCTGACATATACCTATCATATACATGACATACACCTGACATATACCTGTCATATACCTGTCCTATACCTATCATATACATGCCATATACCTGGCATATACCTATCATATACCTGTCATATACCTGACATATACCTGTCATATATCTGACATATACCTATCATATACATGACATATACCTGACATATACCTGATATATACCTGTCATATACCTATCATATACATGCCATATACCTATCATATACCTGTCCTATACCTATCATATACCTGACATATACCTGGCATATACCTGTCATATACCTGACATATACCTGTCATATACATGACATATACCTATCATATACCTGACATATACCTATCATATACCTATCATATACCTGTCATATACCTGACATATACCTATCATATACATGACATATACCTGTCATATACCTTACATGTACCGGGCATATACCTGACATATACCTGTCATATACATACCATATACCTGACATATACCTGTCCTATACCTGACATATACCTGACATATACATGACATAAACCTGACATATACCTGACATATACCTGTCATATACATGACATAACCTGACATATACCTGACATATACCTGTCATATACTTGACATATACCTATCATATACATGCCATATACCTGTCATATACCTGTCCTATACCTATCATATACATGACATATACCTGACATATACCTGCCTATACCTGGCATATACCTTACATATACCTGACATATACCTGCCATATACCTGCCATATACCTATCATATACCTGACATATACCTATCATATACATGACATATACCTGATACATACCTATCATATACATGACATATACCTGTCATATACCTGACATGTACCGGGCATATACCTGGCATATACCTATCATATACCTGCCATATACCTGCCATATACCTATCATATACCTGACATATACCTATCATATACATGACATATACCTGATACATACCTATCATATACATGACATATACCTGTCATATACCTGACATGTACCGGGCATATACCTATCATATACATGCCATATACCTGGCATATACCTATCATATACCTGTCATATACCTGACATATACCTGTCATATATCTGACATATACCTATCATATACCTGTCATATACATGACATATACCTGACATATACCTGATATATACCTGTCATATACCTATCATATACATGCCATATACCTATCATATACCTGTCCTATACCTATCATATACCTGACATATACCTGGCATATACCTGTCATATACCTGACATATACCTGTCATATACATGACATATACCTATCATATACCTGACATATACCTATCATATACCTGTCATATACCTGACATATACCTATCATATACATGACATATACCTGTCATATACCTTACATGTACCGGGCATATACCTGACATATACCTGTCATATACATACCATATACCTGACATATACCTGTCCTATACCTGACATATACCTGACATATACATGACATATACCTGACACATACCTGACATATACATGACATAAACCTGACATATACCTGACATATACCTGTCATATACATGACATAACCTGACATATACCTGACATATACCTGTCATATACTTGACATATACCTATCATATACATGCCATATACCTGTCATATACCTGTCCTATACCTATCATATACATGACATATACCTGACATATACCTGCCTATACCTGGCATATACCTTACATATACCTGACATATACCTGCCATATACCTGCCATATACCTATCATATACCTGACATATACCTATCATATACATGACATATACCTGATACATACCTATCATATACATGACATATACCTGTCATATACCTGACATGTACCGGGCATATACCTGGCATATACCTATCATATACCTGGCATATACCTGTCAAATACCTGTCATATACCTGACATATACCTGTCATATACATGCCATATACCTGATATATACCTGACATATACCTGTCATATACATGCCCTATACCTGACATATACCTGTCCTATATCTGACATATACTTCACATATACCTGACACATACCTGACATATACCTGACATAAACCTGACATATACCTGACATATACCTGTCATATACATGGCATAACCTGACATATACCTGACATATACCTGTCATATACCTGACATATACCTATCATATACATGACATATACCTGACATATACCTGATATATACCTGTCATATACCTGTCCTATACCTATCATATACATGACATATACCTATCATATACCTGACATATACCTGGCATATACCTGGCATATACCTGTCATATACCTGGCATATACCTGACATATACCTGTCATATACATGACATATACCTGTCATATACCTGATATATACCTATCATATACATGACATATACATGTCATATACCTGACATGTACCGGGCATATACCTGGCATATACCTATCATATACCTGGCATATACCTGTCAAATACCTGACATATACCTGTCATATACCTGACATATACCTGTCATATACATGCCATATACCTGATATATACCTGACATATACCTGTCATATACATGTCCTATACCTGACATATACCTGTCCTATATCTGACATATACCGGACATACACCTGACACATACCTGACATATACCTGTCCTATACCTGGCATATACCTGTCGTATACCTGACATATATCTGTCATATACATGCCATATACCTGATATATACCTGACATATACCTGTCCTATACCTGTCCTATACCTGACATATACCTGTCCTATACCTGTCCTATACCTGACATATACCTGACACATACCTGACATATACCTGATATATACCTGTCATATACCTATCATATACATGCCATATACCTATCATATACCTGTCCTATACCTATCATATACCTGACATATACCTGGCATATACCTGTCATATACCTGACATATACCTGTCATATACATGACATATACCTATCATATACCTGACATATACCTATCATATACCTATCATATACCTGTCATATACCTGACATATACCTATCATATACATGACATATACCTGTCATATACCTTACATGTACCGGGCATATACCTGACATATACCTGTCATATACATACCATATACCTGACATATACCTGTCCTATACCTGACATATACATGACATATACCTGACATATACCTGACACATACCTGACATATACATGACATAAACCTGACATATACCTGACATATACCTGTCATATACATGACATAACCTGACATATACCTGACATATACCTGTCATATACTTGACATATACCTATCATATACATGCCATATACCTGTCATATACCTGTCCTATACCTATCATATACATGACATATACCTGACATATACCTGCCTATACCTTACATATACCTTACATATACCTGACATATACCTGCCATATACCTATCATATACCTGACATATACCTATCATATACATGACATATACCTGATACATACCTATCATATACATGACATATACCTGTCATATACCTGACATGTACCGGGCATATACCTGGCATATACCTATCATATACCTGGCATATACCTGTCAAATACCTGTCATATACCTGACATATACCTGTCATATACATGCCATATACCTGATATATACCTGACATATACCTGTCATATACATGACATATACCTATCATATACCTGACATATACCTGGCATATACCTGGCATATACCTGTCATATACCTGGCATATACCTGTCCTATATCTGACATATACTTCACATATACCTGACACATACCTGACATATACCTGACATAAACCTGACATATACCTGACATATACCTGTCATATACATGGCATAACCTGACATATACCTGACATATACCTGTCATATACCTGACATATACCTATCATATACATGACATATACCTGACATATACCTGATATATACCTGTCATATACCTGTCCTATACCTATCATATACATGACATATACCTATCATATACCTGACATATACCTGGCATATACCTGGCATATACCTGTCATATACCTGGCATATACCTGACATATACCTATCATATACATGACATATACCTGTCATATACCTGATATATACCTATCATATACATGACATATACATGTCATATACCTGACATGTACCGGGCATACACCTGGCATATACCTATCATATACCTGGCATATACCTGTCAAATACCTGACATATACCTGTCATATACCTGACATATACCTGTCATATACATGCCATATACCTGATATATACCTGACATATACCTGTCATATACATGTCCTATACCTGACATATACCTGTCCTATATCTGACATATACCGGACATACACCTGACACATACCTGACATATACCTGTCCTATACCTGGCATATACCTGTCGTATACCTGACATATACCTGTCATATACATGCCATATACCTGATATATACCTGACATATACCTGTCCTATACCTGTCCTATACCTGACATATACCTGTCCTATACCTGTCCTATACCTGACATATACCTGACACATACCTGACATATACCTGATATATACCTGTCATATACCTGTCATATACCTGACATATACCTGTCCTTTACCTGTCATAGTAGTCATAGTGGTCTAATGAGACCAAAAGTGCAGTAGGGAGTTACGCCCCCTTAACAACGATCCTGTGTTTGTTCATGTACCTGTGCTCGTGAGTTTCACCAAAGTGTTATTACATCATTATACACCCGAATCAGGTGAGAGCTTTCATCTCGCATCAAGCTCACACACCATCACATAACTGAACGGATGTCCAATGCGGCGTTTAACAACATCACTCACTACATGGCGAGGAAATCCTCTGTTTCCACACACCTGTGTTTGACAATCTTGGACATCTCATAAAACGGCAGCTGCACACGTATCGAGTCTCCATTGTCCAGCACGTACATCCCTTTCCCACTCAGACCCACCACGACGTTGACGGCAGTAAACCCCGGCCCATTGACCTTCACCCCGGGCCCTGTGACCTTGCTGGCGTCGTAGTAGCGAGAGAACATCAGAGACCACTTGTTGATGGCGAACGTGACGATGTCCGCCTTGATGTCCGCGTGGGGGGGCTTCTTGCTTCCGAAGTTGTTAGTGACCGCTTCCTCCACCTTCTGGACAAAGTACGGAACCCCCTTCTCCTCCTTCCAAGCGTCCGGGAACCAGTTCCGGCACAGGTTGTCCAACTTCTTCTGATCCGTCACCTCCGAGTACTCCAGGTAGTATCTCTGTGCCCCCAGCAAGACGAACACTTCCTCCTGTGGAAGGTCAAGGTTGTGAGGTCAAGGTTAGCTTACAGGGTGAATAGGCCCCGGCTCATTGACAAATTTGATCGCAGTAATATCCATGATGTTACATTGGCATAATTACCCTTATTGGACAAAACCATTGTATCAGAATGACACACACCACTTATCACAACGTCTAGACCAATACTAGAAATAGGAACCGTGGACCATAGTCTCCCTTTAACTGAACTACACAGCTGTATCAATATTCATTGTCCAGTTAAAAATACTACTTGAAAATCGCAACTAAATTCACTCTAGATAGCATAAGCGTAGCATAAGCGTTTCAGTGAACGCAACACAATGACATGATTATTTCTTATATTCGCTATAAGGATACCCGCAAGAGCTTTCATTGTTGAGTATTTCATTGTTCCATACCATTGCTACCTACAACATCAACATCATTATCATGTCTGCCGCATTTAATAAATAATAATGAGTACCGGCCCAGAAGAAGAAGAAAAGGAAGGAGGAGGAGGAGAAGAAGAGGAAGAAGAAGGGGGAGGAGAAGAAGAGGAAGAAGGAGGAGGAGAAGAGGAAGGAGGAGAATGAGAGGAAGAAGATCTAGAAGGAGGAAGAGGAAGAGGAGAAGAAGAAGGAGGATGAGGAGGAGAAAAAGAAGAAGCAGAAGAAGAAGAAGGTGGAGGAGAAGAAGAAGAAGAAGAAGAAGGAAGAGGAGGAGAAGAAGAAGGAGAAGAAGAAGGGGAAGAGGGGGAGAAGAAGAAGAGGGAGAAGAAGAAGAAGGAAGAGGAGAAGGAGAAGAAGAAGAAGGGGAGAGGGGGAGAAGAAGGAGAAGAAGAAGGAGGAGAAGGTGGAGGAGGAGAAAGAAGAAGAAGAAGAAGAAACGGCAAAAACATGTCCATGATCAAAGTTATATCTGATTCTGGCTGTATCATGTGTATTGAGGGTGAATCAAGTATTGAGAATACCAGGTGTTCGCGAAAAGGTAGCACCGATGGCACCGTCACAAACACTTGCAAAGGCAAGTCATTTAAATTATGAGCCCCAGAACCAGTACCTTCTGACACTGGTATTCGCCGAGTGAGATCCCCCTCATCACTTGCTGGTAGATGATGTCGGTGGAGGAGGGGTCTTCCTTGGCATCATGCCAAGGTGTAAAGTACTCCTTCCGGTAATACAGCCGCCAGAGGGAGCTGCTCTCGCGCATGCCCATTTGCTTGGTGTGTTGTTCACATTCCGACACGGCATCCATTATCCGGTGAAGACCGTGGCCGAGACAGGAGATCTGATGTGGACAGGATAGTGAATAGATACAAATATTATACATTATACACGATGACTGACTCCTGTTCGCGGAAAACCTAAACCTAACGTTCATGAAACAGTCCATAACAAGGCTGAATTGCGTGTATGCACAACTGTCTTCAAGAACAAATATGTCATTACTGGACGAGGCAGCGATTGTAGATTTGAAACAACTGATCAACAAGTGCGTGCGTGCGTGCGTGCGTGAGTTTGTTGTTTTAACTCCGCACTCAGCAATATTCCAGTTATATGACGGCGGTCTGTGAATAATCGAGTCAGGACCAGACAATCCAGTGATCGATATTGTGAGCAACGCCCACACCTCCGGTCACAATGGCACACAATCAACCAGGGCACTTAGCCTGTCAACCAGATCCATTTGGTCACCTCTTGCGGCCAGCATATGTTGCTGGGGACGATGTGTGACAGATTTACACAGGTCGACCTGAGGTAACTATTCAATTCACTTGATTTACAAGAATGCCACTTCTTAACGAGAACGACTGCAAAACATCCTTAATATAAGACTAAACTGTGGTGATACCGCTGAATAGATTTGACTTCCGTCATGTATTGTAGACCTGGTAGAATCGTTTGATTACACACCTGGTAGACCTTGTACTATTCCATAGCAACCAGTAACTTGGTGTTATTTGCCAGACTGTTTTGTGCGCGTTGTGATTAGAGATAACCAGATAATAAATGTATACTGTTAAGATGCCTAGCTTTGGGTATTCAGTGTGTTGACATGCAAATATATCAATACACTTAAAAAGAGTGAGTGAGTTAGAGTGTCGTTTTGCATGAGTGAGTGAGCATTTCGCTATATGACAAGCCAAACGAGTGAGTGTGAGTGAGTGAGTATGAATTTACGCCGCTTTTAGCAATATTCCAGCAATATCACGGCGGGGGACACCAGAAATGGGCTTCACACATTGTACCCATGTCGGGAATCGAACCCGGGTCTTCGGCGTGACGAGCGAACGCTTTAACCACCAGGCTACCCGACCGCCCCCGATAAGCCAAACGAAGTAAAACGAACGATATACAGTAAACTACGGTTATAACGAACTCAAAGAGACCACTAATTTTAGTTCGTTATGCGCATTTCGACCGTCAGACACCTTTTATCACGTCATATGATATCATGCTACTCGATAAATATAAAAGGTGTGCACTGTACATGTATGAATATATCCACTTCAATCACTGTGCTACTAGTGTTAATTGAGGTGTAATTTGAGGACAAGGTGTCAGTACTTAAGAGTAATTCAATTGCCTTCAATTGTTTATTGCCGTTGCATTGTGTTTCCCGTTTGTTTAATGACGTCGACGTACCTTCTGGTGGAGACACACGTAGATTGAGAACCCCTCGTTGTCGCTGAAGTCCAGCGTCTCTGCGAGGTTGTTGCTCAGCTCCCGCACCGTCGTAGCTGCGTCCGCCTCAATGAGGATGCGTTGGCCGTTCATGAAGGTGACGGGAAGAAGGATAGGTTTGGAGTTCTTGGCCGCCTAACAGAAACATTCGAGTCATGAAGAAAGACATATTTCACCATACGACACACTCTTGACACATCATGGCACATCTTCCACATGGTCTATCCCACAGGTGTATACTTAGTAAATACCCATCGATCACCAGACTGAAACACGCTGTGAAGATTGTGATAGTGATTTGTTTTGAGTTAAAAGTTTTAGAATTTACTCATACTACTGGTGCCTGGGCACATTACGCCGGTTGAGTGAGTGAGTGAGTTGTGTTAAACGCCGCTTTGAACAGTATTCCAGTCATATCACGGCGTATCAGCTTAATGTGGGAGGAAAGCCCGAAGTGATGCAGGTCTCAGACGTTTACCACTTCGGTGAAACCTACGAACACGGGTATGGTGTTGACAAACCTAGAAACATAATCGGGGCGAACCGGGACTACACCGGTTGACAAAAGCCCTGGGTGACGTACACCGGCACAGATGACCGACCTGGAACTCCAGCCAGCTGGGAGGGAACCCCCGAGTTCCTGCAACGCTGGTCCTCCGGGTAAGCTTCTCCACTTTTTGGGTGAACTCTGTCGGCCCCTCCTTTAGGAAACATCGGAAACACGGGGCGAACTACAACAGACAACAACATAAGCAATGAGATTATTGTATTGGCGTAAAAGTCATATAAGTAATAATAATAATCATAATAATCATAATAATCATAATCGTAATCATAATCATAATCATCATAATAATCATAATAATAACCATTACAACAATAATCATAATAATCATAACAATAATCATAATCATTATTCCAAGGGCAAAGTCTGCAAAAGTTCAAGGTCAAGATTTCCCAATTCGAACAAGTTGTCACGTTGAGACAGAAGATGTTGTTTAGGAAACATGTAGTGATAGGTCACGTCTTTGTTCGTTGCCAACCTCCATCATTTATTTCCCTTGAACTAGTTACATATTTTCTTTCGTATAGGTTATTGTAGGAACCACGTTGCTTTGCATATGCAAGTGCGGGAACGGGTGGTCAGGCTCGCTGACTTGGTTGATGCATGTCATCGTATTCAACTTGTGTGGATCGATGCTCATGAAGTCAATCACTGGATTGCTTGGTCCCGATTCGATTATTTACAGACCGCCGTCATATAACTGGAATATTACGTTCGGCGTTAAACAACATACAACCAACCAACCAAACAAACAAACAAACAAAGCATGAGCAAGTGCTGTTTCCTGGTTGGGGTTAATGGGAATGGAATAGTATCTGGTAGGATTGGCGTGAAGATGCTGGATCTTGAAAGACCGCCATGTCTTTCGGATCAGAGCAGTCTATGACGCCACACATTGCTTAAAACATCAAGCAGGTCCAGTGAATACAAGATTATCTCAAATTATTTGTCTCAAGCAAATTCTGGAGGAGAATATATAATTTATAATAGAAACCATACGAGCTCCTCCCTTCGGATATCAAAATGGTTGGTATATTAGAAAGTGACACGGGATGGTGGTCCAACCTTTTCCGAGGGCGTGAAGCATCCGGCGAACAGCATCATCAACACCCAGCCTCGCACTGTGCTGTTCCTGGACGGGTTGTTCGTCAACTGCTTACATAACTGGCAGTATAACTCGTCTCTGAAACATCATGACAATGGTACACAGCTACAGTATAACTCGTCTCTGAAACATCATGACAATGGTACGCAGCTACAGTATAACTCGTCTCTGAAACATCATGACAATGGTACAGCTACAGTATAACTCGTCTCTAAAACATCATGACAGTGATAAACAGCTACAGTATAACTCGTCTCTGAAACATCATGACAATGGTACACAGCTACAGTATAACTCGTCTCTGAAACATCATGACAGTGATAAACAGCTACAGTATAACTCGTCTCTGAAACATCATGACAGTGGTACACAGCTACAGTATAACTCGTCTCTGAAACATCATGACAGGGGTACACAGCTACAGTATAACTCGTCTCTGAAACATCATGACAATGGTACGCAGCTACAGTATAACTCGTCTCTGAAACATCATGACAGGGGTACACAGCTACAGTATAACTCGTCTCTGAAACATCATGACAATGGTACGCAGCTACAGTATAACTCGTCTCTGAAACATCATGACAATGGTACACAGCTACAGTATACCTCGTCTCTGAAACATCATGACAGTGGTACACAGCTACAGTATAACTCGTCTCTGAAACATCATGACAGTGATAAACAGCTACAGTATAACTCGTCTCTGAAACATCATGACAGTGGTACACAGCTACAGTATAACTCGTCTCTGAAACATCATGACAGTGGTACGCAGCTACAGTATAACTCGTCTCTGAAACATCATGACAATGGTATACAGCTACAGTATAACTCGTCTCTGAAACATCATGACAATGGTATACAGCTACAGTATAACTCGTCTCTGAAACATCATGACAATGGTATACAGCTACAGTATAAATCGTCTCTGAAACATCATGACAGTGGTACACAGCTACAGTATAACTCGTCTCTGAAACATCGTGACAGTGGTATACAGCTACAGTATAACTCGTCTCTGAAACATCGTGACAGTGGTATACAGCTACAGTATAACTCGTCTCTGAAACATCGTGACAGTGGTACACAGCTACAGTATAACTCGTCTCTGAAACATCATGACAATGGTATACAGCTACAGTATAAATCGTCTCTGAAACATCATGACAATTGTACACAGCTACAGTATAACTCGTCTCTGAAACATCATGACAGTGTTATACAGCTACAGTATACCTCGTCCGAAAACATCATGACAATGGTACACAGCTACAGTATAACTCGTCTCTGAAACATCATGACAATGGTACACAGCTACAGTATAACTCGTCTCTGAAACATCATGACAATGGTACACAGCTACAGTATAACTCGTCTCTGAAACATCATGACAGTGATAAACAGCTAAAGTATAACTCGTCTCTGAAACATCATGACAGTGGTACACAGCTACAGTATAACTCGTCTCTGAATCATCATGACAGTGGTACACAGCTACAGTATAACTCGTCTCTGAAACATCATGACAGTGGTACACAGCTACAGTATATCTCGACTCTGAAACATCATGACAGTGGTACACAGCTACAGTATAACTCGTCCTGAAATAACATCACAATTTCACAATCCATGGACAAATCCATTCTCCGCATGATGACAAAGTGAAAAGTTTATTTGATACATAGTTTCTGTGTATCATGAGGTGAAATAGGTTAAAATAACATTTGGCCATGACAGTCAGGTTCGTTTCTCCATGAGTACACGAGGGAGCCCAATTCTTGTGGCCACCTACGGTCTTATAGAGGGAACCTCGCTACAAGCGGCACGAAGCTTCCTGACCACCCTTTATAACAGTATAGGTCGTTCTTCGTTGCCTTATATATTTCACATAACTTGGCCCGTCAAAACCGAAATCCTCGAGATCCCCGTGTCCTGAGTAGCTTACCTTAGGTCAGTTCTGTATATACCCAGGGCGCACAGGTACTGTATCTTCTCAAGCATTGTCTCCTTACCGCTGGGTAAGAAGGGGATATCTGAGACCTCGGCACTCACGGGATCTTTGAACTGCAAAACGTCGTTGTCGTATACCCATGTACTGTACATATGCATACAACCTTCTCCAAGTCTTAATACCATCTTTACACACCCCGATGTAATAAAGTGGCTACTACCGATAGAGTCTCTTCCAAAGGGGCATGGCCCAAAAGTCGGGCCGGGCCGGGCCAAGACGGGCCAAAGTGTTATTGGCTAATTACTTCGTTATCGGCGATCATACCTACATCGCGAGGTTTGTGATATACATGTCTAACACGATGCATGTCATTTTGGAAAAATAATGACTGAACCAAACAATGTGATAACCCATTAATAACTTACCGTCATTGGGAATTATTCATAACAATAAACTGTCCCAAAATCTTAAAATAATATTGAATAAGTGAGTTTATCATATGGCCAGTGTGTTACGCAGGTGTGTCCAGACAGATACAGGGAGCTAGTGGTTCACCATGCGGGGACTCACATATTCTGAATATTTCTTCTGAGTATCATCCAGGTCTTTCCTTGTGTACTTCCTCTTGAAGCCAGCCTTGACCTTGGATATGATAGATGGTTCCTCCTGCAAAATGGTAAGGTTGACTTTGAGGACAATATGAGTTGTCATGAATAAATGGCGGATAATGTTACTAAAACAGTAATTTCTTATTTGTTATATTCTTATCTGGGGATATGTATCAACATAAACACGTGAATTATGTATTCACGTCAACACATCCATGCAATGGTAGTTATGAAAAAGGTATTCACGTCAATTTATCCACATAGCGAATCCAGGACACGTTTTTACTACAGGACATCCATGCAATGGTAGTTATAAAAAAGGTATTCACGTCAACATATTCACATAACGGTAATGAGGACAAGGTATTCACGACCAGGTATTAAGAAGGTATCCACGACAGGATATCCATGCCATGGTAGTTATTAAAAGGTATTCACGTCAACATACTAGTATTCACACAACGGTATCGAGGACAAGGTATTCACGACCAGGTATTCAGAAGGTATTCACGACTAGATATAATATATTCACGACAAACAATCTATGACTAGGTATTTACATCATAATATCAACGACACAGTATGTATGACAAGGTATCATAAGGTATTCACGACATTGCATTCGCGGCAGGAAATTTACGACAATGCATTTGTGACAAGGAATTCACGTCAAAGTATCCGCGACAAAGTATTTCCGACAAAGTATTTCCGACAAAGTATTTCCGACAGTATCCACGAGAAGGCAATTACGACATTGCATGTGCTGCTGCCTCACCCCGATGACGGAGAGGAACTGTCCTGAGCTCTCTGGGAGATCCCCCATCACCCGGAGGATGGTCACCCACGAGGCCAGGGACGCCTGTAATCATAAAGGACAATACTCAGTGAAACTGTCATTCAAGGTCAAGGCCAAGGTCACACAAGATATACGTGTTTTGTTGTGTTGAGTCTTCAGCTGGTATTGAGTAACTCCAGCCGAGGGATCAAAGCTCTGTCGTGTGTGTGTGTGTGTGTGTGTGCGTGTGTGTGCGTGTGTGTGTGTGTGTGTGTGTGTGTGTGTGTGTGTGTGTGTGTGTGTGTGTGTGTGTGTGTGTGTGTGTGTGTGTGTGTGTGTGTGTGTGTGTGTGTGAGTGTAAAGAGGACATACGATTGTGTCAGCTATGTCATGTTTGGGTGGTATGTGTGTATGCGTAGAGAGGACATACGATTGTGTCAGCTCTGTCATGTTTGGGTGGTATGTGTGTGTGATTAGAGAGGACATACGATTGTGTCAGCTCTGTCATGTTTGGGTGGTATGTGTGTGTGATTAGAGAGGACATACGATTGTGTCAGCTCTGTCATGTTTGGGTGGTATGTGTGTGTGATTAGAGACGACATACAATTGTGTCAGCTCTGTCATGTTTGGGTGGTATGTGTGTGTAATTAGAGAGGACATACGATTGTGTCAGCTCTGTCATGTTTGGGTGGTGAGTGGGTGTGATTAGAGAGGACATACGATTGTGTCAGCTCTGTCATGTTTGGGTGGTATGTGTGTGTGATTAGAGAGGACATACGATTGTGTCAGCTATGTCATGTTTGGGTGGTATGTGTGTGTGATTAGAGAGGACATACGATTGTGTCAGCTCTGTCATGTTTGGGTGGTATGTGTGTGTGAGTAGAGAGGACATACGATTGTGTCAGCTCTGTCATGTTTGGGTGGTATGTGTGTGTGAGTAGAGAGGACATACCAGTGTGTCAGCTCTGTCGTGTTTTGGCAGCAGGGAGCCCTGTAGAGCTGCACAACTGTAGACATGCGTCGTACGGAGCTGGAACTTGGTTTGAGCAAACAGCGCGAAACTTGAAGGTCCTGTCAGGGTGTCGATGTCGTCGACTTCGCTGCTGACGATGGAGTCGTCGTCCCTGCCTGTACATCAACATACGTGGAGTTAGCCCGGGAACGCACGGTATCGTGTAAGCGAAGGTTGTCGGAATCCCATGTGTGTAGGATAACAAATAATGTATCCTTCACGTGAGATCCAACCTTTTTCTTGACACACATTGAGTTGAATATAGTATTCAGTTTATCATGTCGGGTTCTAGAACATATGCATCTGACACATTCAGACATGTTTACATGTTTGCAGGAATAGAGGTATGACGCTTTAACAAGGGAATTAACATTGATGTTGAGATTGTTCAAATCGTTGCTTGCGGTGCAGGATCTGTATTTGTTGGAATGTGTACATTAACAAAGTGTTGCCGGTATCCCGTGCAAATCACAAAAGATTGAGTTGGACAACGACGTGACGTGCTCATAATTTAAGGTATTAGCATTACTACGTGAAATTAGCACCATCACCCGTGGAGATCCACCATCAGCCGTGGAATCCACCATCAGCCGTGGAATCCACCATCAGCCGTGGAGTACCACCATCAGCCGTGGAGTCCCACCATCAGCCGTGGAGTTCCACCATCAGCCGTGGAGTTCCACCATCAGCCGTGGAGTACCACCGTCAGCCGTGGAGTACCACCATCAGCCGTGGAGTACCACAATCAGCCGTGGAGTTATACCATCAGCCGTGGAGTTCCACCATCAGCCGTGGAGATCCACCATCAGCCGTGGAGTTCCACCATCAGCCGTGGAGATCCACCATCAGCCGTGGAGTTCCACCATCAGCCGTGGAGTTATACCATCAGCCGTGGAGTACCACCATCAGCCGTGGAGTTATACCATCAGCCGTGGCATCCACCATCAGCCGTGGAGTTCCACCATCAGCCGTGGAGTACCACCATCAGCCGTGGAGTACCACCATCACCCGTGGAGTTATACCATCAACCGTGGAGATCCAACATCAGCCGTGGAGTTCCACCATCACCCGTGGAGTACCACCATCAGCCGTGGAGTACCACCATCAGCCGTGGAATCCACCATCAGCCGTGGATATCCACCATCAGCCGTGGAGTTATACCATCAGCCGTGGAGTTCCACCATCAGCCGTGGAATCCACCATCAGCCGTGGAATCCACCATCAGCCGTGGATATCCACCATCAGCCGTGGAGTTATACCATCAGCCGTGGAGTTCTACCATCAGCCGTGGAGTAACACCATCAGCCGTGGAGTACCACAATCAGCCGTGGAGATCCACCATCAGCCGTGGAGTTCCACAATCAGCCGTGGAGCTCCACCATCAGCCGTGGGGTACCACCATCAGCCGTGGAGTTATACCATCAGCCGTGGAATCCACCATCAGCCGTGGATATCCACCATCAGCCGTGGAGTTATACCATCAGCCGTGGCATCCACCATCAGCCGTGGAGTTCCACCATCAGCCGTGGAGTTATCCCATCAGCCGTGGAATCCACCATCAGCCGTGGAGTACCACAATCAGCCGTGGAGTTATACCATCAGCCGTGGGGTTATACCATCAGCCGTGGAGTTCCACCATCAGCCGTGGAGTACCACCATCAGCCGTGGAGTCCCACCATCAGCCGTGGAGATCCACCATCAGCCGTGGAGTACCACAATCAGCCGTGGAATCCACCATCAGCCGTGGAGATCCACCATCAGCCGTGGAGTACCACCATCAGCCGTGGAGTTATACCATCAGCCGTGGAGATCAACCATCAGCCATGGAGTCCCACCATCAGCCGTGGAGATCCACCATCAGCCGTGGAGTACCACAATCAGCCGTGGAATCCACCATCAGCCGTGGAGATCCACCATCAGCCGTGGAGTACCACCATCAGCCGTGGAGTACCACCATCAGCCGTGGAGTTATACCATCAGCCGTGGAGATCCACCATCAGCCGTGGAGTACCACCATCAGCCGTGGAGTTATACCATCAGCCGTGGAGTTCCACCATCAGCCATGGAGATCCACCATCAGCCGTGGAGTCCCACCATCAGCCGTGGAGATCCACCATCAGCCGTGGAGTACCACAATCAGCCGTGGAATCCACCATCAGCCGTGGAGATCCACCATCAGCCGTGGAGTACCACCATCAGCCGTGGAGTTATACCATCAGCCGTGGAGATCCACCATCAGCCGTGGAGTACCACCATCAGCCGTGGAGTTATACCATCAGCCGTGGAGATCAACCATCAGCCATGGAGTCCCTCCATCAGCCATGGAGATCCACCATCAGCCGTGGAGTACCACAATCAGCCGTGGAATCCACCATCAGCCGTGGAGATCCACCATCAGCCGTGGAGTACCACCATCAGCCGTGGAGTACCACCATCAGCCGTGGAGTTATACCATCAGCCGTGGAGATCCACCATCAGCCGTGGAGTACCACCATCAGCCGTGGAGTTATACCATCAGCCGTGGAGATCAACCATCAGCCATGGAGTACCACCATCAGCCGTGGAGTATCACCATCAGCCGTGGAGTACCACAATCAGCCGTGGAGTTATACCATCAGCCGTGGAATCCACCATCAGCCGTGGAATCCACCATCAGCCGTGGATATCCACCATCAGCCGTGGATATCCACCATAAGCCGTGGAGTTCCACCATCAGCCGTGGAGCTCCACCATCAGCCGTGGAGTACCACCATCAGCCGTGGAGTACCACCATCAGCCGTGGAGTATCACCATCAGCCGTGGAGTACCACAATCAGCCGTGGAGATCCACCATCAGCCGTGGAGTTCCACAATCAGCCGTGGAGTTCCACCATCAGCCGTGGAGTTCCACCATCAGCCGTGGAGTTCCACCATCAGCCGTGGAGTACCACAATCAGCCGTGGAGTTATACCATCAGCCGTGGAATCCACCATCAGCCGTGGAATCCACCATCAGCCGTGGATATCCACCATCAGCCGTGGAGTTCCACCATAAGCCGTGGAGTTCCACCATCAGCCGTGGAGCTCCACCATCAGCCGTGGAGTACCACCATCAGCCGTGGAGTACCACCATCAGCCGTGGAGTACCACCATCAGCCGTGGAGTACCACAATCAGCCGTGGAGATCCACCATCAGCCGTGGAGTTCCACAATCAGCCGTGGAGTTCCACCATCAGCCGTGGAGTTCCACCATCAGCCGTGGAGTTCCACCATCAGCCGTGGAGTTCCACCATCAGCCGTGGAGATCCACCATCAGCCGTGGAGTACCACCATCAGCCGTGGAGATCCACCATCAGCCGTGGAGTACCACAATCAGCCGTGGAGTCCCACCATCAGCCGTGGAGTACCACCATCAGCCGTGGAGTTCCACCATCAGCCGTGGAGTTCCACCATCAGCCGTGGAGTTCCACCATCAGACGTGGAGATCCACCATCAGCAGTGCAGACAACTCCATGATGTTCCCACACCAGCCCCAGAGTGAATCTTTTCTCGGCACTACACGTCGTGAACTACTTCTACCGTCGTGCATCCATTGGTACACCCATGGTCAGTCTCATTCATCCATGGGAACACGGCCATTCTCCCTCCCCTCTCAATCTCCCTTCCGACTTTACTTCTCCCTTCTTGCACTGGATCCCTTCTCTCTTTCTCTCCCCCCTCTCACTGCTCTTGTGATTATGTATATCACCTTAGCTTCCTCTCACATTCTCTATCTCTGTCTGTGTGTATCTCTCGGTCTGTCTGTATGTCTGTGTGACTCTATGTCTGTCTGTCTCTGGCTCCCCTCTTTCTCCTTGTCTCTCCTCTCACTTTCTCTCTCTCTGTCTCTCTCCTTAGCCCCTCTCCCACTCTCTCGTTTGCTCCCCGACTCTGTCTCTCTGTCTCTCTCCTATCTCTCCGTCTCTCTCTCTTCCCCTCTCCGTCTCTCTCCTCTCCCCTCTCTCTCCGTCTCTCTCCTCCTCTCTCTTCCCCCTCTCTCTCTCCTCTTTCTCTTTCTCTCTCTCTCCGTGATGTGCTGCTAGAAGGCCTCTACGCTATGTCTACCTCTACGCGTCTTACTTGAGGCCCCTTCCCCCGGGGACCCCTCTTCCTCTTGCCCTGAGTTGAACGGCGGAACTGGAGTAGACTCCTCTGTGTCCGGCTTGCAGTTCTCCGTGCTGGAGGACTCGGTGTCGGTCATGTGGGTCTCAGCCACCACGGATTTCTGGAACATGGAAGGTCAGAGATACAACCGGCGAGAGGGTGGGGGAGAGGAGGGGGGAGAAAAAGAAGAAAGCGGGGCAGAGGGGCGATGGGGATATAGATGAGGAAGAAAAAGACAGGAGACAGAGAGAGAGAGAGAGAGAGAGAGAGAGAGAGAGAGAGAGAGAGAGAGACACACACACACACACACACAGAGTGAGAGGGGAACAAGACATTTGCACAAATGGAGAAACTGTGCCACACTAACCACTTGTACCTGGCTGGTAGGACCCATCTATCTAACACGGCCATACACGCTATTCTGTCACGTTAGCACGACTTTCTCTTTTGGGTATCAAAAGTGCACATGTACCAGATAGGCCATAGGGCAAGAAATAAACCTGAGCCTAATCGTCAATGATCCCCAGTGACCTTTGATCTAATCACCCACACAACACCTCTGATGTCACAGGGAACGTAACCTGCAAGACCAAATATGACGACAGTGTATCTGTGCACAAAACGGGCAAATTCTACATACATTTCTTGGACAAAACGAACTAAACCCTTGTGTTTTGCAGACCAATAAATTAAAGATTGAGCAAAGAGAACTAACACGTGCCTTGTGTCAAGTCCGTAACTTGCAAAACCGCAAGTGTTTAATATGAAGCGAGGCGACTAAGCATTAACAGCAAACCTTATGAGCATATACAGCTCCTGGTATGACCTGAAGCTCCTGGATTGCATATTATCGCTTTGATAAGAAGCCTGTTTCTTATGTCTAAATATATCCATTCGCGGTTGCATTTTGTTGCATTAGGCAAAATAGTTTTATGTGAGTGCATGTGTTGTATTCAACGCCGCTTTCCATAGCACTCCAGTCCTATCACGGCGTATCAGATGAATGTGGGGTGAAGCCCGAAGTGATGCAGGTCTCAGAAGTTTAGCACGTTGGTGAAACGTAGCGAACCGGGATTCAAACCCACAATCACAAGTTTCCGGCGAGCCTAAGTAAACAGTAATCTACCAGTAAATCTCCCCGTGACGACATAGTACACACAATATATACAGTGTTCTGTATATCTCTTACCATGCGTTCCAGTCCCAGGTGGTTCTTCGTGAAGCCAGGTTTTCCAAAAGCTTCTCGGGAGTTCTTGCCCTGTTTCTCATTTTTCGTCGCCCCCACCGACATCTCCGACACCGAGTACTTGTCATCGTCGTCATCTATCCCAAATGCAGCGGCGGCGCCCTGTGTGACGGTGATCACGACGCTGTTGCGGTGAGGTAACGCTTCCTGGAAGGTCAAGGTCAAGGTCAGAAGAATGTCAAGATGACGCCTCGTTGTATAGCAGATTGAGGAGGTACACTGTAATATTACCGGTGAGGCAATAGCAAATTTACGATAGGGTAACGGTTCCTGGAAGGTCAGGTCAGCAAAAATGCCAATGGGTCGCAATTGTTCATAGCAAGATAAGCAGTTACACTGATATTACTGATGCGCCAATAACATATTTACTCTCTTTCCATCGCATCTGGTATATGGTATATATATTTATATAGCTCTACATTTTGCAGATTCCACATCATGTAGCATGTATCAAAGAAGGAAGGGAGGTATCGTTCAGTTAGATGAAGCCCCATTACACACTGAGTGGGCCGCTGCACATAGTGAGTGAGTAAGTGAGTTGGGTTTAACGCCGCTTTTAACATAATTCCAGTTATATCACGGCGTGTCAGCTTAATGTGGGAGGAAAGCCCGAAGTGATGCAGGTCTCAGACGTTTACCACTTCGGTGAAACCCACGAGCACGGGTATGGTGCTGACAAACCTCGAAACATAATTGGGGGAACCGGGATTCGAACCCACAATCATAGGTTTCTGGCGTGCCTAAGGGACGCAACTCTGCACAGCGAATCGCGGCGCCTTAGACGACTGGGCCACCCGTGCCCCCGCACATAGTGAATACATGCCAGATCAGCAGTGTGAAAGCTGTAAAAGAATACATTGGTGGCTTTGTTGTGAAATATTAGACAAGGCATGCACACATTTCATTTCAGAAAGCATTCCAAACCGTATGATGGGTTACATGCAAATGTTATTCCCTACCAAATTGTATTTTTACAATAGGACTTGTAAATAACAACAGAACATATTTTTTAAGGAATTCTAAATGTTTCGCGGGATGTTTTTGCTGTGACTATTTCATTATGCACAGTGGTACAACTACCCGGATCAACATATATATCTACTCTATGTATTCCCTGCCCGAGTCACGTACTTCATCAGGAGGATGCACAGCTGCTGACCACCCCACAAAGTGACAGTTCTAGATGGCTTTGTTCATCGCCATGGAAACACGTAGGACTATGCTACAAGACTGAAACTACCAAGACTGAAACTACCACGACACTCATCTAGGAACTAACGCTATGACAACTTGACAGCACTACCAACATCTATCTGATGGAGTATTCAGAATTCTCCGATAGTTTTCTACCTAAAAGATAATCAAACATGTGAATATCTCTAACATTACAAATCATATGAAGAACATTTATTCGTTACGAATTGCGGTATTCTCGTCAAGGATGACACACAACTAAGAAGACGTTAAATCTAGTAGGACATATTCACCTCCGTCCCATCGCCCTGTGTAGATGAATAGTAAATCTCACGAATATACATACACCACAAGCACATGGGTACCAAGATTTGTTTTTAACATTTTTAAATTAAAACATTCGACATCAACCCATTTAATTGTGAACATCATGGAACACGTTTGGTTTACATCTTAGTTCATTATACATTTATTTGACAATCCTCGCGATTTGTTTTTGAATCATCATATGATTCACTAAGATGAACATTTGGACATAAGATGCATGTTACTTGACATTAAGAAGCAGTGTGAGAGTCATAAGCAAGTACATTGGAAAACAAAACGTTGCTACCTTCTTCAGAGACACGTCGTACCATTCCGACATTAACTGCAAGAATAACACATAACATCTTGTAAACCTCAGACGAATGTTCATCACCCTGACCTTCGACCCTCTGATGCTGAAGGGGAAACCGGGTCACGGTGCAGTGATGGTAAACATACATAATTCCATGTCATGAATGCCTCAAACAGGACTATTTGTACTTACTATCCTCACCGCCGTGGTCCACTTTATATTTGAAATAAATCAAAATTAAACAAGTCTAGCAATAGTTGTCCCTCGCTGTGACATGATATTGTGTGTCGCCACTGTCATGACTTGGACACACTTGATATTGTATTGGATATGATCACATCCGTGTTGCAGGTGCTGGTAGGCACGAGACATCCATACTCAGCCACAGTAGGGACAAGGGGGGCCACGACGCGAGGCGCTGTGCAAAACTGTGTCTCCTAGACATGTCAAACACTTTTTGATTTAAACATATTTTATTCACAATAAGTGAATGAGAATAGGTACAAGTTCTCCAACTTAGGACACCTCCCAGATATTTACACCATCGATTTACAGATTGTACTAAACATGAAGAGGAAAGATAAGTGAACAGTGAGAACAATAAAGCTTACATGAACCTTTTTGTTTTCACTTATATAACTTTGGACATATAATGAATTGTTTATGTGATCTTTTCTGGTAAATCCCCATTTCCATTGACTATCAGTTGGTGTATTGTCGGCTATACTGCTTATGTTTCTAAGTAGAATGTCTCTTTTCCGTTAACCAAGTCACATTCAAAGAAACAATGATATGCATGTTCACATTTACAACCGCATAAACATTCTGCTGCGTCTTTAATTCCTTGTCTACGTAAATCATAATTCCACTGCCTACCCTTGTGTCTTAGCTCAGTATGCATAACATTATGTTGTCTATGTTCAAAGGAGAAGTACGATTGGGCCTCGGGCTGATTGTGACTGATAAGTGTCTTACAATATTGAGTTGAACTACGGGTTCTTTCATTTAATGGTAGCTCATTCAACAGCTTGATAGTAGACGGGGGAAAATCATGTAGAGGTTTGTCTCGTGAGGGGAATTTGGATATTTTCCGAATTCCTGAGGGTGTATGTATGTTTGGAAGATACCGAATTTGGTCAAATATAATAAAGTAAGATGGAGCTAAATTGTGATATATCCTATACAAAAAACAAAGTTTTCGTTTCCTTCTGCATTCTTACAAAGGTATACAACCAGTTTCGAAATATAATCATAATCGGGTTTTCTTCCCACATCCAGCTGAGAAGCGGTGAAATAACTGAAATACAGTAAACTACGTATATAACGAACCCGCTTACAACGAACTGGCGTATGTAACGAACTGGGTTTTTTAGTCCTTGCCATTTGCTGTACATATGCTTATAACGAACTACGGTTATAACGAACTAAAATTTGTGGTCCCTTTGAGTTCGCTTTGATCGTAGTTTACTGTACCTTTCACAGCGGCGTTAAACCAAACTCACTGACTTACCCAACATGACACTGGTCTGATCAATGATTACCTAGCCATATATATCTCGTTCTAGATAGCGCTTCCATCAACACGTTGTTACGCCAGTCCAGCATTCGGCAGCAGTGTTAGCATGAAGGTGCCTGAGTGTGTCGGGGTGGACCCATCAAGGCCACACACGGGAATGTCTCATGTGACAAGTTCCTATTCATGTTCATTTTCTGTTCACAAATCATACTGCGAGTAACTATGAATGAGAACTATACTAGTCTCTGTGAATCCCTGCAAAGGGCTTTTCATATATTCAGACTACGACTCGACTTAAACTTTCAATAGCGTTTACGCAAAAGGGGTTAATTTCTACTTTGTTCGTATTGACCGAAAGTTCGGGACTGTTTACAATTAACTACAGCTAATCTAGGTTCAAGCAAAGATGACCGAAACCGAGCACAACAGAACCGTCAAGATTTGTCCATCAAGGTTTTCCATCAAGGTTTGTCCATCAAGGTCTGTCCATAATGGTCTGTCCATGAAGGTCTGTCCTTTAAGGTCTGTCCATCAAGGTTTTCCATCAATATCTGTCCATCAGGTCTGTCCATCAAGGTCTGTCCATCGAGGTTTTCCATCAATATCTGTCCATCAAGGTCTGTCCATCAGGGCAGCCCATCAGGTCTGTCAATCAGGTCTGTCCAGCAATGTCTGTCCTTTAAGGTCTGTCCATCAGGTCTGTCGATCAGGTCTGTCCAGCAATGTCTGTCCTTTAAGGTCTGTCCATCAATGTTTACCATCAATATCTGTCCATCAAGGTCTGTCCATCAGGGCAGTCAATCAGGTCTGTCCATCAGGTCTGTCCATCAAGGTCTGTCCATCAAGGGCTGTCCCTGAGGTCTGTCCTTTAAGTTCTGTCTATCAGGTCTGTCTATCAGGTCTGTCCATCAGGTCTGTCCATCAAGGTCTGTCCATCCAGGTTTTCCATCAATATCTGTCCATCAAGGTCTGTCCATCCAGGTTTTCCATCAATATCTGTCCATCAAGGTCTGTCCATCAGGGCAGTCCATCAGGTCTGTCAATCAGGTCTGTCCAGCAATGTCTGTCCTTTAAGGTCTGTCCATCAGGTCTGTCGATCAGGTCTGTCCAGCAATGTCTGTCCTTTAAGGTCTGTCCATCAAGGTTTTCCATCAATATCTGTCCATCAAGGTCTGTCCATCAGGGCAGTCCATCAGGTCTGTCAATCAGGTCTGTCCAGCAATGTCTCTCCTTTAAGGTCTGTCCATCAGGTCTGTCAATCAGGTCTGTCAATCAGGTCTGTCCAGCAATGTCTGTCCAGCAATGTCTGTCCTTTAAGGTCTGTCCATCAAGGTTTTCCATCAATATCTGTCCATCAAGGTCTGTCCATCAGGGCAGTCAATCAGTTCTGTCCATCAGGTCTGTCCATCAAGGGCTGTCCATCAAGGGCTGTCCATGAGGTCTGTCCTTTAAGTTCTGTCCATCAGGTCTGTCCATCAAGGTCTGTCCATCAAGGGCTGCCCATGAGGTCTGTCCTTTAAGTTCTGTCCATCAGGTCTGTCCATCAAGGTCTGTCCATCAGGTATGTCCGTCAATGTCTGTCCATCAAGGTCTGTCCATCAAGGTCTGTCCATCAGGTTTTTCATCAAGGTCTGTCCATCAGGTCTGTCCATCAAAGTCTGTTTAATCAGGCCTGTTCATCAAGGTCTGTTCATCAGGTCTGTCCATCAGGACTGTCAATCAGGTCTGTCCATCAATGTCTGTCCTTTAAGGTATGTCCGTCAAGGTCAGTCCATCAAGGTTTTCCATCAATATCTGTCCATCAAGGTCTGTCCATCAGGTCTGTCCATCAAGGTCTGTCCATCAAGGGCTGGCCATGAGGTCTGTCCTTTAAGTTCTGTCTATCAGGTCTGTCCATCAGGTCTGTCCATCAGGTCTGTCCATCAAGGTCTGTCCATCAAGTCTGTTCATCAGGTCTGTCCATCAGGTCTGTCCATCAGGTCTGTTCATCAGGTCTGTCCATCAGGTCTGTTCATCAGGTCTGTTCATCAGGTCTGTTCATCAGGTCTGTCCATCAGGTCTGTTCATCAGGTCTGTCCATCAGGTCCATCAGGTCTGTTCATCAGGTCTGTTCATCAGGTCTGTCCATCAGGTCTGTCCATCAGGTTTGTCCATCAGGTCTGTTCATCAGGTCTGTCCATCAAGTCTGTTCATCAGGTCTGTCCATCAGGTCTGTCCATCAGGTCTGTTCATCAGGTCTGTTCATCAGGTCTGTCCATCAGGTCTGTCCATCAGGTTTGTCCATCAGGTCTGTTCATCAGGTCTGTCCATCAGGTCCATCAGGTCTGTCCATCAGGTCTGTCCATCAGGTCTGTCCATCAGGTCTGTCCATCAGGTCTGTTCATCAGGTCTGTTCATCAGGTCTGTCCATCAAGGGCTGTCATCGTTTTTCCCCAAATTGACAAGAAGGCATTTGTACGTACGGTTGCCTGACTAAGAAAACAGCCTGCCCGTAAGATGGTGGCGTGAAAATAATTATGTTTTGCCATTACTACGCTCTAACCCACTTTCCTCACGCCCTGTCAGTTGTATTCCAGCCTCAGTGACCCTGTAAGTACTATGCGTCATGACTCACTGACGTTTTGAATTCGGCTCATATACAGATGATTATAGGCGGTGAATCACACAGGTTGAATCTGTGCCCGGTGCCGCGTTAGAGCGGGGTGGCATATGCCTGAAACTGTACATCAGTGTATATAATGTTTTTAAACTGTTGAGATTAGCCTTCGCATTTAAACCCAAACTTAAGCCCAAAACGAGCACCAACTCCGCCGCAAAGACCCGCCCGTGTTGACTGAAGTACAGATCAGATGGTAACAATGTGTCCTGCCCTGAGAACCAATTACGTTTTATGTTCACAAAACTTTGAAGTAAGAAATGGTTGCAATGTTGCATGTTTATATTTCTTTAACACTGTTAAATGTGCTCAAATACGCCTAATTAGTCGGGGATAAAATAGTCTGTCCATATTCTTTTCGGCAATTTTTCTTTTTTATTCATGTAATTGTTTCCAGTGCCTCGGTCGTATTCAGGATTGATACATATAATGGTGTTGATTCTGATGGGTCAGTTCACCAATGGCAGTAATGTAACCCTTAGGGGTATCGACACTCTGCAGTTTCCGCTGAACTAACTCCTCGTCTCTTAGGTGTGAGCCCTACATCGTTATACTTTACCCACAAACTAAGCCTTGCCCTTTAATACCCAATCATATACGGATCCGTGCGACGCTACATATTCTTCTATAGTAGCAACAGGGAAACTCCCATAAATATCATTAAGAAACCCAGTAAAACACTCTATAGCCTAACGTCATGGTCTGACCTAACGGACCGCCTCCGTGGTCTAGTGGTAGAGCGTCCACCCGGAGAGCGGTAGGTCCGGGGTTCGATCCCCGACCGCGTCATACCAAAAGACGTTCAAAGCTGGTACTTGTTGTTACCCTGTCTGGCGCTCGGCATTATGGGGCTAAAAC